TTTAAATCAAATTATCGTAAAACTATATATTTAAGGTAATGTGTCACACAACTATAAATTTAAGACCAAGTATAAAAAAACTACAAATTTAATAACAAAATTATCACAAAACTATAGGGTATGTAGTTTACATCCTTACCTCTAATATTATGTTTGAGTTATAATTGTTCAAATTTTGTGATTAAATTGGTGTAAAATCTGTAGTTTTGTGATAACTTTGTTACTAAATATGTAGTTTTGCGATATTCTACCTTAAATATGTAGTTTTATGATAAATTTAGTGTTAAATTTATAGTTTTGTGATATATGTTAAATCTGTAGTTTTGTGATAGTTTGGCTAAAATCCATATAGTTTTATGAAATTTACTCCATATATATTGAATATATTATTGAATGTTGGCTCCTATCGTGCTTTTCTCTTCTGAGGGACTCTTGTAATGTATATATGTCTAGATTTTGGAGTAAGATAAGTTTAAATAACTCTTTCTTTTTCGCCTTGATCAAGACATTGCATCAATTTTGTAAAAAAGAAAGGATATAAGGAATATAATTACATCCCCACGCTATATAGCTATAGGACACATATAACCATAATGTTTGAATAAGGTGAATGAAGCAAATACATTAATGCTTTCCATGAAACACACAAAAAAAACCATGTATTTTTTATCACAATAATTGAACAATTTCTGCACTATTTCTTTAGAAAATCATGCGATCCAACTAGGGCCTACACGCACATTTGCAAACGGTGACATCTATTGCCATGTTTATTCTAAACAAATAACTCTTGTTTATCAAGAATCTATGTAACACCAATATTTTTTTAAGGCAACAAACCAAACATCCACACTTTAACGAAATATAACGGATTATAATGTATCCCCCCTAACCACCTCTCATTTAATTTTTACTCAATATTACCCCTAAAGGCCCTTCCACTCCTCACATACCCCTTCTCTAATAAGTGGCATTATAGTTTTTTCCCTTTAACCTTAATCTCTCTTAGATGAGTACAACATAGTATTTATTAATTCTAAATTTCAAAAATATTAAATAAAAAATATAAGTAAGGCTTCAAGTTGAATAAAACTCTATATCTATTATTATAATTCTAGAAGTTATTTAAAAACTAAATTTAGAGTGCATAATTAGTCGACATGGTATTGTTAATTAATTACTAATTACTATAGTAAAACGCTGGATACCACGAAGGGACATGGTAGCGATCAAGAGAGGAATGAGCGCTCTAGGAGTCGAACATGAGACGTGCCCGCGCTCCACAGCAGCCCCTTTTGCCACCTGCACTAGCACGCAGTCTCACTTCCTAAAGTATCAACTATCAAGTAAATACATTGGAACATTAAAATAATAATTGATAAAGGTACTAGGATGATTCTATATACAATTTAGAATTAGACTACATTTGAGTTTTGTATCTATAAATGCAATTATATTGTTTATTATATATTAAATGGTATTTAAATATAATCCCCAATAAATAAGATAACTGATTAACAACTAATATTGTTGTTAACGCGAAAAACACGCAATGGCCTAAGAGATATGCTTAACTCTAGTGCAGGTCCAAAGAAATTGCCTTCAGGTTCTCAGCGTGCTAGCTGGTTTGATTGTGCAACCAACAAGAAAGAAAAAGGAAAAAGTTAAATCCACCAACGATAGCAGATCGGCTGGATTGCCGATGACGTATCTTCCGGAGCCATGCCGATGTGACTTGCATCGGACCAGCAAGGGAAGATAAAACGTAGAGATTATTAGATCTACTTGATTGGCTGTAGATGTCAATGATACATAGCCTATCCAACGAAACACACTTAGATCGGGTGATTGGGATAGATCGGATGTTATGCCGAGACAGTATAAATCACTCAATATCTAACTGTACCTCAAAGCAGAGGTTACGTAGGTTCATAGCATAGTTGATGGGGCAAACCTAACGTGTATCGGCTAGTACTCCGATACCGCTTTATACTAAGATATCAGCGCAGATAAAATATACAAAACAAAGATCAATATGGCAAGCAGGGTGCATTAACAAATTGATATATAGAAAGCCTAATATGCTTTAAGCGAATGAGATCTTCATATAAAGGGCAGATTTAGACGATCAAGAACCGGGTAGGGAAACAAAACGGCTAAATCAGGTAAGATCGGCTGAAACCCCGATACTATCTCTATTAGTAATCAAAGAAAGAGCTAGATAAGACGTCTCAAGATAGCACTTAACAGATCGAACCTAACCGATGCAACATTAAGCGTGAAAAGAAACATAAGATCTAAGCAAATCAATGAGAACTCATTCAAGATGGTAGATATACTGCACAATCTAGCTTGGTGTCGATATCTAAATTTATCGGCCGTTTTCGATGATAGAGGCTAGCCGATGAAGTTAGATGACGAAATCTATCTAGATTATACAGCATATATGATAACTCGGTGAATCACATAAACAGGATTAGAGTGTCATAAAGATGTAAGCACTAATCCAGAGAACACAAACCGCCATAGCAAGCTTTACCTCTTTGTCGGAGATCGAACCCGATGTAGCCCAACTCGAAAGCAAAAACTCGTCGAAACAATGAGAATAGAAAAGGGTGGCGATGCGCCGAAGTATTATTGAACTGTCGTTCTGTGATTACAAGGTGTCAGGTCATATTTATACCCGAAGTCAGGGCCGGCCCTTGCCCTATGCAGCCAAGGCGACCGCCGGGGGTGGGGGGGCAACACCTAATACTAGTAATCTAGTACCTTATCCGATGTTGAGATCAATGATTTTTATTCAGAATTAAAGGTATTGCAAGTGAGTTTTCTAAATTCTTCGATATGATGTCCGCGCCTGAGATTCTGAAATTTGTTATGAATGCATATTTCTATCCAAATGTTTCAGATGCCTATTGAATTCTCTTAACCGTACCTGTGACGGTAGCTTCAGCTGAGAAGTTTTTCAAAATTGAAGTTGTTGAAGAACTATTTGAGATCAACTATGTCACAAGAAAGGTCAAATGGCTTGGCTATGTGCTCAATTGAGAAGGATATATCGGACACTATTGATCTTAATTCCGTTCTGGATGATTTTGCATCAAGAAATGCCTGAAGAAGTATCTTTACATAGGAAGCAGTGGATACGATGGGGTTCTATTCTTCATTAAGTTAATGAATAATGATATTAGTTCCAAGTTTCAAATATATTGTTATTTTGGTCGACTTTATTTCTTAATAATTACCAGGCATGTTAAATTTAATATATGGATGTATTACAAGAATATGCGGATGGGCCAAAAAAATAAATAGTTTGGGCCAGAAGGAAAAGAAACAGATGTGAGAAAAAGGAATAAGTTCATCTAAGGTCCCTTAACTTTCAACGAATCCGATTTTCGTCCTTCAACCACAAAACCAGATACAACGGGTCCCTCAACTATCAAAACCGGTGCAGATTAGATCCCTCGGCGGTTTTGAAGGCGGTTTTGGCTGACATAGCACCTATGTGGCTAGTTTGACTTGGTCTTGATCTGACGTGGCATTGACGTGGCGCTTACGTGGCAATTCGATCCGGAAAAATAATAAAGCCCGTGGGACCCACATGTCAGTTTCACATAGAAATTAATAAAAAATGGTGGGGCCCACGTGGGCCCCACATGTCATCCTCACCCCTCTTCTTCCTCCTCTCTCCCAATCTCCCCTCTTTCCTCACTGACCGGTGGAGCGGGGCGATGGACGGGGTGGAGCGGGGAGGCCGGCGGAGCGGAGCAGGTTCGCGGGCCTCACTGACCAGTGGAGCGGGCCGATGGACGGGGCGGAGCGGAGCAGGTTCGCGGGCAGAGCGGCGGCGGCGGCATGTCACCCTCACTCCCCTCTTCTTCCACCTCTCAACCTTTTTGTCGGTGGGGAGCCGACGCGGTGACTGGGCATCGGCGGCGCGCCGGAACACAAGGCAACGACGGCGTGGAGGAGGGTGGTGCCGTTGGCGCGGCAAGGGAGGTGCTGGTGACGATGGGGGCGGTGGGAGAGGAGGAGAGCGTCGGCAACGCGGGAAAGGGCGACGAACGGCGCGGCAAGGGAGGAGTTGAGCGGGCGGGTGGCGGGAGAGCGAGAGAGGGCGACGGGCGGCAAGGGAGGAGCTGAGCGGCGGCGCGCAGCGGGAGAGAAGCTGGGCGGCTACCGCCGCCGCCGAGGAGGGCGTCGCAACGGGCGGCAGAGAGATGGGCGGCTGCCGGCTGCCGTCAGGGAGAAGGTGCAGTTCCCCGCTTCTTACCATTGCCGCTCCGGCTACCACCGCTCCGCGTGCCCCGCTCTGCTCCGCCCGCGGCCCGCCGCCGCCGTGCTCCGCTCCAGCCGCCCCACTCCACCGGCCCGCTCCGGCTGCCGCCGCTCCGCCTGCCCCGCTCCGCTCCGCCCGCGGACCTGCTCCGCTCCGGCCGCCCCGTCCTTCGCCCGCTCTAGTCGTCGCCGCCCCGCTCCACCGGTCAGTGAGGAAAGAGAGGGGAGATGGGGAGAGAGGAGGAAGAGGGGTAAGGATGACATGTGGGGCCCACGTGGGGCCACGTAAGCGCCACGTCAATACCACGTCAGATCAAGACCAAGTCAAACTAGCCACGTAGGTGCCACGTCAGCCAAAACCGCCTTCAAAACCACCGAGGGACCTAATCTGCACCGGTTTTAATAGTTGAGGGACCCGTTGTATCTAGTTTTGCGGTTGAAGGACGAAAATCGGATTCGTTGACAAGTTAAGGGACCTTAGATGAACTTATTCCGTGAGAAAAATATTTGGGCCAGGAGACAAGAACATCCGGATGGGCCAAAAATACAGTTTGGGCCAGAAGAAAAGAAACGGATGTCAAAAATATTAAAAACAAATTGGCTTCGCCCGGACTCGAACCGGAGACCTTCAGTGTGTTAGACTGACGTGATAACCAACTACACCACGAAACCGATGTTGTACTTCGTTGAAAAATTTGTTTTTAATATTATTTTAGTACCCCTAACTTTAGTTGCTTTCAGAAATAAGTTCTAAATACAAAAGGTGCTAATACTCATAATTGAATTCTTTCACCCGAAATTCCTATATGCTATGCTTGACGATCCCAACCGGAATAACGTACACAGTTTTGTCCATAGGATAACCATACTCCTCAAGTCCCATTTGCTAAATTCAGAGGTATAAAAACAGAGGGGCTTGTACTAGTAGTAGTAGCTTGTAACACGACAGCCAAATTACACCAGCAACTAGTACGAGTACAGCAACAAAAGTAGTAGGAGTAGTACTACATGCATAATCTCATCGGCTGCATGCGTCCATCCGGGTTCAGAGCTGCGTTTGGAAGATGGTGACGTGGCGCAGGCGCTGCGCCATGTCGGCCACCGAGCCCACCGCCGCGAGCAGCGACACGACGAGCGCGCCGACGTTGAGCGCCTGCAGCGCCACCCACTTCCGGCTGCCTCTCTGCACCTTCGCCTGCGCCATGTACATGGTCACCGGGAAGTACACCGTGAGCGGCCAGAACGCGACGGCGCCGAGCAGCCCGAGCACGGCGTTGAAGAACGGCAGCACCAGCGACACCACCGTCGTCACGGCCACGAACGCCGTGCGCAGCACCAGCTTGCACAGCGTGAACCGCACCGCGCGCCCGCCGCCCAGCGGCACCGCGTACTCCCGGTGGAAGAACGCCGACTCCGGCCAACGGCTCGCCAGCCACTTCTCGTAGCACGCGAACACCGGCTGCGCGTACACCTGGTACGCTCCGACCAGGTGGATGACGACGGCAACGTTGGCGATGTCGACGAGCCAGAACGGCTCGAGGAAGCCGGTGAGGACGTTCCCGGGCGCGGCGTTGCCGAACGCCGCGTACCCGACGCACCCGATCGACACGTAGAAGACGGTCGTGACGCCGATGCCGTACAGGCTCGCCCTCTTCATCGTCACGTTCTCCGACGGCGGCGACTTCACCGTGTCCTGGATCTCGATGAGCAGCATGGAGTAGGTGTACGCGAAGGCGATGTTCCCGAGCGCCTGCAGGAAGTGCCACGCCTTGGTCGACGCGGTGACGCCTCCGGCGCCGACCCTGACGCCGAGGAGGGTGCCGTGCGCCGCGCCGTGCGACGCGACCTTAGCGGCGCTGAGGAAGAGCCCGACGAAGGAGTAGGTGAACGACATGACGGCGGCGACGACGGAGATGAGCGTCACCCCCTCCAGGCTCGGGCACTGGGACAGGACGACCTCCGCGAGGCCGAACAGCACCATGTACATCGTCCCGGACGAGCCGCAGGTCGCGTCCGGCCCCTTGTAGTGGTGGCAGTTCGTGCGCACCACTGACCTGCATTCTCACGGCCCAAATCCTAGTACATGTTACTGAACAAAAATTTGCCAAGATTTTTCAGGGTGGCCAAGAAGCTGGAGCTAAGCTTACATGATGCTCGTAGCGGTCGTGATGGTGTAACCCACCATTGCGCCCCAGAGAATCGCGTACTGCGCAATGCCACACACGACCACGTCTCGAGGCCCTTCACACGATCGATCAAAGCAACAGTCTTGTCAGAAATCGCAGAGATTTTGCAGGAGAAAATGCAGGTAAGTCTCAAAGGTTCTTAGCTACCGAGGCATGAGCGGACGACGTCCATGTAGGTGTAGTTCCGCTTGCCGTGGACGGGGTCCGGCGTGCGGTAGCAGTCGCAGAGGAGGACGGCGGTGTAGTAGGTGATGTAGGCGCAGACGACGAGGGCGATGGGGCCGAGCACCCACCCCATCTGGGCCACGCTCCACGGCAGCGCCAGCACGCCTGACCCGATCACGGCGGTGATGGCGTGCGTCGTCGCCGTCCATACCGTTCCTGTGAAAAGGAAACAAAATTCAGTTTCGTCAGTGCCATTCTTGCGTTCTTGTGAGAAAAAAAAAATCCTGTGAGAATGTCTGACAGGTCACTGTCATTTACATTACGTGTGACATTCTTGCCTTCTTGGTCTCTTGGAACACCTGGCTGATTAAGCATGAACATCAATAAAGATGCAGTGCATTGAAGAGATTGCCATATCAGCGCGGCTAAAAAGAGATCGCCAGATCATAGATCAATTACAGTGGGCATGATGCAACATTGCACAAGTCAACTTCCCAGTAGTGTAAGAAGCCATCATTTTTTCAAAAGGATCTCCAGGATTCCATCATGTGTCATAAACAAAGAATCCGTTTGATCTACTGCCCATGCGCTGGATACCATAACGTAAAGCAGACCAACTAACGAGTACAAATAGAGCAACAGGTTCATATATTACGCATGTGATTTAATCACCATGTCCTAAAGCAGTAACACTTAAAACAACTAAAGAAATATTTGCTGTCTTACTTGTGTTAAACTAACGAATCATCGCAAATGTATAAACAGACTCTTTTGAACAACGTAAGCACGCACATGAATGAAAACACTTATGTAATGCTCTGGTGGCCTATGTGGAGTATGATGTGGTATCCCAACCAACATCAACATGCAAAGGAAGTATGATGTGAAATCAGGCACTTGCTCCCTGATGTAAAGTACTAGCAGGGCTAAAGTACAGTCAAACTTTTGTCCAGTAAAATTCCTTAATTACAATAGACAATTGCCCCGAAATCCTATTATTTGACATGAGTGTACTTATACTTAACTGGTCATTGTCAAGACTGCTTAATGGCCCGCTCTTCATCACAGCCTATGATAGCTAGTCACAACTCACAACAGTACACCCAAGATAACCAGAAAAAGGAAGTAGTAGTACAACAGAATATGCACTATGTTTTACTTTAATACCATGAAAGCTATTTGTCGAATTAGGATGCGTGATGTAAGTGGAGAGAGCACAAGCTGCAGGTTAATTTGCAGCCATTCATCGATACCTAATCCATTGCTCCCTCACGCGAAGAAGAAACGTTCCAATAGGCTATTGCCAACAAATAGTGTTTTCCATTGTTTCTGGGATTCCAATATAACATTAGGATAATGATTGCACATATTGAAATTCTGCCTATAATCCTGGAGTATTAGTACTGCTGTACCGTATAACACTAGTAAAGCCAAGGCCACTTGGACTTGGTAGGGTATATAGTAGAGTAGAGGTAGTGCCTGCCAAGTCATTGGCGATTTGGATCTTGCAAGAGGTTGCGTGCTGTAACTATATGGGAATTAGGACCCAGTTCCTGCATAAATACTATGCCACTAACACTGTTACTATCCTTCACGTTGTCCTAGTAAAAGCAGTGGTAACAGAAGCTTCACGCAATGGATTTCGCATTTTCAGGTGTTGGTTTTATCCAATAATGCTAGCATATACGCAAGATGCCTCTATTAAATCTATCCCGAGTTTCAGGGATGTTGCTGCAATGCTGTGACGAGTGTTGTGTGTAAAACAGAAGAAAGAATATGTGCGTATTCGGGAGTGTAGCATCTCATTAGCTAGACATGCATCCAAGAAACAAGACATGTAAAAGGGGACAACTCTTTTACATGGCATTTCTTTAAGATAAAACACTAAAATAGGCATTGAATTCATTATATGGCAGTGTTTAATAAGAGAAGTGTAAATTCCCTGCCTCTGCATTTGCAGTGTGTATTTGTTTGGTTCTTCCAGTACGGCGCGGCGTAAACAAAATGGAAAAGAAGGGTTTGACTTTCAGTGCCCATGCATGCGTGTATGCTCCATCAGACGGCTTGGACAGCAAAATCATGCATTGACTAATTCCAAATCTTTTTTTTTTTTGCATGTACTTGGAGAAGCAAAACGAGAGAGTCCTACAAGGTTTCGAAAGGATGCAAGACAACCGCATGTTCCATAGCGCGCTGAAGTCTGAAAGCGTCTTTCCACTGGGCACACATCTGGCTAGCTCTCACTTGAAAGAGAGGCACAAGTCAATAACCACCCTCCAACGTACGCCAGCAATGCACGTTTCTGTCCAAATTCAGCAATGACAGAGGCTCGCAGATCTACCACACTCAACGGTATGTGGTGACAATGAACATGCAGCTAAACTACGATGAACAACGGAACAGAGTTTCAGAGGAAACAGCAGCTAAATACTCTGCATGAAGCATGAACTGTTCAGGTGCCTTCCTAGCAGAAGAAAGACAGGCAGGGTAGCCGTAGGATAGTAGTAGGATTTTCGGCGACGACGACGACTGTGCAAACGCGAACTGGAAACAGAGAGGATCCTGAGAATTACCTGTTCTGACGCGGCCATCGTCGTCGACGGCCACCTCCTTCCTCTCCACCTTCTCCACGTCCATACTCTCTCTGTGTACGAGTTTCCCTCTCTCTCAGTCTCCGGCCTCTCTTATCTGAGCGGAAAGGATTTTGAGCGAATTCTGAAGCCTGTGCGCTGCAGCTATATATAGAGCTGGCGAGCTTTTGCACCTGACCTGTTTCCCACTGTAGATTCATTCTTTTAATACGGTCACGAAACCCCACGAATCCTACTAGTACCTCAGAGTCCCCTGTAGAAAATGAAGGTTTTCCACGTCATTTTTTTAGTAGCAATAACTACCACCAGATTATATGCCTGTTACATTTAGTTGAACCTACCAAGGTGTTCACAAAGGTGCAGAAGTTCTGGTGACTTTTATGAATCTGATTAGTCAATTTGGGATGAATCTGGTTGGTACTTGCCTACTACATTCATTCCATAATAATTATATTCTTAAGATTTTATTTTTCCTAAAATAATTACCACGATAGAGTATTAATATCATCAATCACTTATTCAATTTTCCCATATTCTATTTTCAACCATTCTCTCGTTTTTATATGTACACCATTTAATGAAGCGAGCATTATAATCTTTCTTTTCAAATCTTAATACGTAGTACCTGCTAATAAATTATAATTATAATTATTTTGGGACGGAGGTAGTACTTTGTAACCACATGATTGAAAAATCTGAACTAATACCTTCTGCAGTTGAGTTAGTGAGCATGTTATCCGTCTGATTTTGGTAATTTCTAAATATCCCTGAAGAGAAGACAGTGATGCTGATGATCATTCAGGTGGTAGAAAATGAAGTGCTGGACATATCTCAGCCTCTCAGGGGCTCAGGGCTTGACCCAAAAGGAAAGCCATCTTCTGCTTCATCATGCGGCCGCCACGAAGCACACATTGCTACAAAGCTGCATGAATCATGAGATTGCTGCTCTTCTCCTCTCATCTATCATCGTGAGATCATCGTCCATCTCTTGACGCCACCAAAAGAATTTCAGGTTCAGAAACAACAAATTGTTTCTTGCGATTCACTGGAAAATCAAACACGGCTCGTAATTCACGGCCGGAAACCATCAAAGTTTGCTGCGTGGTTCCAAAACCATCAACATTATGTACACCCTGTAATCTGCCTATATATGGATTATATTTATGGATATGTGCTGTGTGCAACTGTGCAACAGCGTGTCTTTGCTAGCTCGTGCCAACGCAGCCAAACAGCCTCACGTGTCGTCATATCCCTACACACAGTAGATTCAGGGCTGGTTTGGTTTGAGGCCTAAATTAGGCCTACCAATATTTGACAATTTCAATAGTGATTAGTGTCTATTTGGTTTGAAGCCAAATTTTGGCATGCCAAAAAAATAGGCCATTTCAATAGTGAACTTAGGCTATTTTGGCTTCAATCCAAACGCAACTTTGCCTTACTAAAATTAGTCATGCCAAAACTTACCAAAATTTGGTACTGACAAAATTTGATAAGGCCTATTTAGGCCACAAACCAAACCAACCCTCAGTGACGAAGCTGAACACCTAAAGCTGGGCTGTATGGGCCAGTTTGGGTCCAAATAAGAACACCAATTAACGCCATAAGGCTGTGCCACGGCCCAGGCCCAGGCCCAGGCCCAACCCAATCTTACAAAAAAAAAAACAAGTAAACAACCCCAAGCCACGGCTCCGAGAAATACAAACACGAACACGGCACACACGTCTACGTGAGCCCACGGGGATTATTGTTCGAGTCAAATATGTTACAAGCAAACACGTGGTTGCATGCGGCGAGCCGGCGTGCATCGCGTCGACCGGTTTTCAGTTCTTGGCGGTGGTGAAGCGGTACGAGGCGTAGGAGAGCGAGGCGTTGCTCCAGCTGCGGTGGATCAGCTCCGCCTTGGCCCCCTCACCGGCGGCGCCGAGCGCGACGTGCAGCGGGAGGAAGTGGTCAGGCGACGGGTGCGCCACCCTGCCGTGCGGCGCCTTCTCCTCGTACCGCTTCACGTCGTCGTGCCTCCCGCCGAGCAGCGCCTCCTGCAGCCACCCGTCGAACTCCGCCGCCCACTGCGGCACCGGCGTGCCCTCGGGCCCCATCCTGCGGAGGTTGTGTGTCGCGCTGCCGGAGCCGAGGACGAGGACGCCGTCGTCGCGGAGCGGCGCCAGCGCCCTGCCGAGCTCGTAGTGGTACGCGCCGTCGCGGCCGCTCTGCAGGGAGAGCTGGCACACCGGCACGTTCGCCTCCGGGTACATGAACATCAGTGGCACCCACGCACCGTGGTCAAGCCCGCGGCTGTGGTTTTCCTTCACCGGCCCGAACCCGGCTTGCTCCAGAAGCTCCTTGGTCTTCATCGCCAGATCAGGAGCGCCCGGCGCAGGGTACTTCAGCTGTTTGCAACAACATTATTCGGTATGGTCAGATACTGATGCGATCATGCAAATGCAACGTCATTATTCAGAAGGGTAGATACTGATGCAATGAAATTATTCAGTACTATGGTCAGAGATACTGATGTAGTGATTACGTTATACGCATATACCTTTTGCTTCCAGGAAATATAACGTTTTCCATGCATGATGCATCCTTTTGAGCGGAATGGATTTAAGTTATAGTATGATTTAGTAATTGTTTGGTTGCATATAAGAAAAGAGTACAAAATCTTTCTATTGAAAAGTTATCATACGCCAACAATGAATCTACCTTCAACCACACGACTACAGGAGCATATATGATGGATAAATAGTACTCCATTCGTCTTAAAATATAATAACTTCTAGCACTTAAGATTTGTCCCAAAATATAAAAACTTCTTCACTAACATTCTTTTCTCAATCAATCACAATTCTTCACCATTCAATTTTCCTACATACCTGCACTTCTCTCTCCCATTTAATTCTGACTACTTTCTTAATACTTGTGTCCAACACTAAAAATTCTTATATTCTGGGACGGAGGAAGTAGCACATACTTATAATAATGCATATATAGTACCTAACTAAATACTTATGAGTAGCAACTTTCCTTCGACGAAAAGGACCAATAAGCTACTAGATGAGTAATCAAATCCTTATGGTGATGCATATATACTACCTAACTAAATATTTTGTACGGCAGCTTTGATGGGTGTGGTTTCTCCGATAACAGGTTCACCCAAATTACCAGAGTACACACCCATTTTTATTCGACTGGCTTAAAAACAATTGCGTAAATATTTACTCTTGGCCATCATAACCTTTACTAGTAATATCCACAACTATCTTATGGTGTATATGCTAGTCCTTCCGTCCCAAAATATAAGCTATTTTGGTGAATGTGACACATACTAGTATTATGAGATAAAATCCCTTATATTTTACAACGGAGGGAGTAACTCAAATGCTGAACAGAGTAATGAAAATGAAACTAAATTTAATTAGCCATTTAGACATAGCTCACAGCAAAATCCTTGCTGACTGATCGACTGAACGATCCGGCAGATGCTAGTGACAAGCGCACTTTACCCACTTGTAGTAGTTTGGTATGCCCATTGCCCACAAATATTCCCTAATTTTGCTCACAGCCTCAAACAAAATACACAATGTCATGTCTGCATCAGATGGGATGCTGGGGTTGGTAAAAGTTCAGATCAGCTAAACTTTTGGGCATCTCTTCCTACTCCCATGTTTAAGTGGTAGGACCTACTCCCATGTTTAATAAGCATATCTAAGATGCAATGGGACATGTACTTCACAAACTAGCATGAAAGATCTAGTATAATACTAGCATGTTTTAGTCTTTGATTGCGCTCCAATCAGTCCCACGTGATATAAAATATACAACACGAGATACCTAAATACTCCATGCATAATAATATATAGTAGTATAACATATATGGAGAAGTAATCTTCACCTTTGACCAGTTTCCCCTACATCAGGCGCGGGGTTATCACACCCCAGCGGTAAGTGAGGTTACCGTGCGATATTTGTGACAAACCATACAAAATTTATCGAAATTTCATTTATTATTTTAATTTATAAGAATTTGTTGGGGTTATTGCAGTATTACCATTACCATATCCGGAGGTAAATGCAATAACCGTGCAATTACGGCCGATTTTGTAAACCTGCCTAAGGCTATGAGCATGCGGAGAAATGGTATCATGCTGCCATGGTGTTGCCTACGAGTAAATTCAGACCAGTTGCCAAACCAGGTTTCAGCAACCATGTAGTGTGGTTTTCCGATAACCAAGGCAGAAAGATCGATTTCTTCCCATATATTCTGCGCGATTTGGAATCAAAACCATCCAAATTTGACGTCTTCCCTATAGCATGTAGGAAATCCGAATACCCAATCCTTGAGGCTGTGTTCCCAACATCTTCAACCTCGTTTTCCGCGCGCTCATTTCCGAAAGTGTAAAATGCCCAAAGTAGAAGATGCTCGAACAAAGAAACGAACGACCAAGGTCCAATTTTGGCGGAATCGCTCCACGTTGTACGGCCATTTCTCAATCAAGAAACAAGGGATTCGATTCGAGGGAAGGAGACGGACGGACGGACGGACCTTGTACATAGCCTTGGGGAAGCCGTAGAAGTCGTGGATGGTGTCGTTGTTGCCGCGGATGACGTTGACCGTCGGCGCGGCCGCCTCCCAGTGGCCCGACACGACGAGGATCGCCCGCGGCAACTCCGCGCCCGCCACCGCCGCCGGCAGCCACGACTTGAAGAATCCCTGCGCCGCGATGGTGTCGTCGATGGACAGCGTGGGCGCGCCGTGCGACAGGAAGAAGGTGTCCATGGCGCCCTCCGCCGCGCGCCTCGTCGTCGTCCTCCTCCTCCCCCTCCTCTCGGCTTCGAGGGCGCTCCCCTGCTGCTCGTCTTCCCCCGGCGTCGGCGTCGGCGTGGTCGTCGCGCGCGCGTGCACCGCGGCCGCCGGGCTGGGCTGCTTGCTTTGCCTCTGACCCATCCTCTTCTCCTCCTTATACGGGGCCGGCGGCCGCGCGCGCGGTGCGGAGGATGACTGTTTATTTTGCGGTGTTTGGTAAGTTTAGTTGGTCGACGACTCGACGGTCTGGACCGCGGACTCGGCCCCTCATTTGGACTTTGGGATGTCGCTGCCGGCGCGCGCACGGGCGTGTAAGCAGTGACGTAAGAAAGCGTACTTCGCTGGAGGCGCGTGACAAGTGGAGAAGCGGATTTCTGGAATCGGCCATGGTCTGGATGTTGTTGGTCATGTGAATCTGTGAGACTGTGATCCTACCAACTTCTCTCTCCTTTTTTAAGGAAGGGTCTCATGACTCTCATCGAATGGATGTTTGGATTGATGCTTTTCAGCCAAAACCCATCGAATTGCTTATTAGGCTGATAACCACCAGCCACAAAAAATCCTTATCAAGTTAAATAAGCCAAATAAGCCAATCAATGGTTTTTCTTTAGCTTAAGGGGAAAAAGCTAACTTTGGCTGATCAGCTAAAGCTCTTGGCTTACTGATGAGGGCCGAAAATATGATTGGCTGTTATATCTTGTTATACTTGTGTCTCGCCCATCCTAGGGGTAACTGTTGCACTGCGAATGATACTACATACCGTGTTGTTACTGTATACTTGTACAATAGTACTTCTTTTTTAACGATTACACTATATATACATACGTGCGCACATATTACTACACATGCAACACCACATTTGCACTTTCACGAACATTTTCTTAAATAAAGAACCAACTGTTTATATCTGATTTTATTGAATTTTTGTTGAAGGTCCAATTGCACCTACTAATCTAGCTTGGATGGCATGATATATGTTACTATTGGCTACAGTGTTTGAGACCTTGCATTGCTTGTGTGTTGGCTTCACTGTCAGCTCGTCCAATGTACCGCAGATTATTATATAGGAGTAGCTACTTCAATGCCAAACAAAGGCAAAAAGGTAGGATTGCCTTGTTTCATTGCTAGAGAAGGTAAAACATCAACCACCCAAAGAAAAGTAAACATCAGAACGCCAGCCCAACAGACAGCACCTTATGAACACCCAAAACTTAACAAAAACAGACTACAGAGTACCTTAAACACCGGACACCAAAGCATACAGCGAACTATTGACATTCAGAAATTCGACAACCATTTCTATAAATTACCATCGACAAACATGTTTTTTTCCTACAAAATATCATTGTACAAGTGTTTTTGTAAATTCCCGTTAGGTTTTCATTTATAGACCTCCGTTAAGTCTTCTAAAAGGTCTATTTTACTCTACGATCCATAGAACACTATGTGAGGGGAAATTATTTTATTTGATCTCTTGAGGGGATGTCCCCTCGTTGTTTGCATGTCACTGAAATGATTATGAAAAAAATTGGGATGATGTATTAACATGTGATATATCACTCCACAAACATGCAAGTTCAAATTCAACTTCTATATCCCACAACGAAAAAACCAAATTAATGTATATTCATAGTCAAATTTGTCTTTTTCGTTACAAGATGTAGAGGTTGAATTTGAACTTGCATGTTTGTGGAGTGATATATCACATGTTAATACATCATCCCAAATTTTTTAAAATTTTTTCATAACCATTTAAGTGACATGTAAACAAAAAGAGGGGACATCCCCTCGAGAAATCAAAATTCACTTCCACTATGTGAGCACTTACTGGATTAGAACTCTTGAGGGGAGATAACATACCATCCAAATGATTATGAAAATAAATAACAAGACAGATTAATATGTGATAGATCACTCCACAGACATATAAGTTAAAATTTAGCTTCTACAAGTTAAAAAATAAATAAACTATGATTAGTTAACTTATATTCATAGTCAACTTTATTTTTTTTTATTGCAGCTATTAGAAGTTGAATTTAACATTACATATTTTTGGAGTGATCTATCACATGTTATTTTTTTTATTTTTTTAATAACCAATTGGATGATAGGCAAATAACGAGGAAATACCCTAGAATAGTTCTCCTCGCAGTCTTTTGCACCCATAGTTAAATAACAACATATTGCCTAATTAGCTGTCAATTTTTTTTGACTGAATTAGCTGTCAAATTTGCACACGCAAATACGGTTCAGTGATGAAGCTGAACGCCCTGTTGCTTCCTACCTTGCTCGGTAGGATGGGCCAGTTCGGGTCCAAATAAACATAGCAGTTATCATAGTGATATCAACGCCATGAGAGGCTGGGCCACAACCCAAACCACCATGCATGCAAGTTTATTGCAACTGAAAACCACAAGACACGGCCGTTAGGAAATACAGGCACGAACGTACGTCTACGTTAATAGGAGTATATTAACGTAGATCCCACGGAGATTATTAATTGTTAAGAGTAAAATGGCGATGATATAAGCAAGACATGTTTCACTCTTTGCATGCGGCAATCGGTTTGTTCTTGGTGGTGGTGGTGAAGCGGTACGACGCGTGGGAGAGCGTCGCGTTGTACCAGCTATGGTGGATCAGCTCCGCCTTGGCATCCTCCCCGGCGGCGCCGAGCGCGACGTGCAGCGGGAGGAAGTGGTCCGGCGACGGGTGCGCCATCTTACCGTTCGGCGCCTTCTCCTCGTACTGCTTCACGTCGTCGTGCCTCCCGCCCGCGAGGAGCGCCTCCTGCAGCCACCCGTCGAACTCCGCCGCCCACTGGGGCACCGGCGTGCCCTCGGCGACGGGCGCCATGCAGCTAAGGTTGTGCGTGGCGTTGCCGGAGCCGAGGATGAGGACGCCGTCGTCCCGGAGAGGCGCCAGCGCTCTGCCGAGATCGTAGTGGTACGCGCCGTCGCGGCCGGTCTGCAGGGAGAGCTGGCACACCGGCACGTTCGCCTCCGGGTACATGAACATCAGTGGCACCCACGCGCCGTGGTCAAGCCCGCGGCCGTGGTCCTCCTTCACCGGCCCAAATCCGGCTTGCTCCAAGAGCTCTTTGGCCTTCTTCGCCACATCAGGGGCGCCCGGCGCCGGGTATTCCAGCTGCATGGGATGCCATGCATGCATTATTCAGTTTTTTTTTTAAATTTTTGAAAGGAGGGAACAAGCTTTGCCTCGTGATCAGATCACAAGGCAACAAACATGATGCATGCATGGTAGGGAAGGACGAAACGCGAACAGTTGGACCTGGAACATGGACTTGGGGAAGCCATAGCCCTCGAAGTCGTGGATGGTGTCATTGTTGCCGCGGACGACGTTGACGGTCGGCGTGGCCGTCTCCCAGTGGCCCGACACGATGAGGATGGCACGCGGAGGCTGCGCGCCCGCCACCGCCGCCGGTAGCCACGACCTGAAGAAGTGCTGCGCCGGCATCGTGTCGTCGATGGAGAGCGTGGGCGTGCCGTGCGATAGGAAGAAGGTGTCCATGGCCCCCGCGCCCCGTAGTCCCGTACGTTGTGTACTCCTCGTCCTCTCGGTTTCGGAGGCCACTCCCTGCTAGCTGCTTATCTTATCTCGCCGGCCGCGTCGGTGTCGGTGTGGTCGCGTCGGCGCGCGCGTCGCGTGTGCTGCCGGCCGGGTTGGGCTTGGCTTTGGCTCTGCCCCCATATCCTTCTATTTATATACGCGCCGCGCGCGCATGGGCGCGTGGTGCGTTGCAACGTCGCCGGCAGCCGATGAGGCGTGCGTTGGTTGCAGATGATTGGGAGTGCGTTAGTTGCAGATGATTGGGTCAGCCGATGAGGCACCATCGTACGTACTGTACGTTTCACAGTTGTGCAGTAGTAGTTGGTCGATATGACTTCCGATCTACTACTCCAGTCTACTAGACCGCACACCTCACCTCAAGTTGCCGGCAGCAAAAGCTGCGCTTGAACAGCCAGCAGCTCTCGCGTTCTAAATGGATGTTAAGCTTTGGATATAGATAGAATATGCATGATGGAGCAAAATTCTCACATGGTTGAATTAAATTAAATATTATAAATTGCTAACAAATAGTATAGAAAAAGTGGTCTAAGCATTCAAGTAGATGTTTAAAGTGGGGCCTCATTCATTCGCTCAAGATCATAACATGAGCTACTTCAATGCCAAACTTAAATGTACGTATAATGCTAGCTCAACAACCTCACTAGTAGAAAAAAGGTCTTCCCTTACTGTCAAAATATGCCTTTCCCGGTGGCTAGACTAACCGCTAGCGTCGAAAGGCTAGTGAAAATCTAAGGTTTTCACAAGCAAAACTTTAACAGCTAGCGATAATCGTTTTCGCTTGCGGTAGTGTTATACCGGCCGCCAGCGATAATCGAATTCCGTTAGTGGCAGAGATAATCGATTTTGGGGAAAGAAAAAGAAAAAACCCATGCAGCTGCCCTCTAACCGCCAGCGAAAATAAATATGCCCACATGTTGCTACCCTGCATTAAAAAATCCATAGCGCCAAATCTCAAATCCCAAATCCACAACAAGCACAACTTCCAAAAAATACCATCACAGATCCTAAATCCACAAATTCACACAAAAATTTCACATCACAACACAAATTCCACATCACAGATCGAGCACAAAAATTTTACATCACAAAGATTAAGAGGTGAGGCATCACAGATCGAGCACAAAAATATTACATCACAAAGATTAAGAGGTGAGGATGGATTCGTTGCTCCCAAGGGAGGGCGTGGATGGCCGGCAGCGGATCCGCTCGCCGGCGCCGGCTCTGCTCCCCACCGCCCCTCCCACGCGCCGGTGCCGCCGAGCGCCGCCACTGGCCCCTCCCCCCGTGCCTCTCCCGAGGACAGGCGGCGGCGGATCCACTCTCCCGAGGCTCGCCGGCGCCAGATCCGCATCTCGTTGTCGAGAACCACCGCCGCTTCCTTCCCCGCGCCACTGCCGCACCTCCTTCCTTGCGCCGCCGCCCCCTTCCCCACTCAGCAATGGAGAGTGAAGGGAGGCTGGCGGCGGTGGAGAAAGAAGGGAGGCTGGCGGCAATGGAGAGAGAAGGGAGGAGGGATAGAGGAGGGAGGCAGAGGGACCGTGCGCTACCGCGCACTTGCCTTCCGTCACCGTCGCCGCCGCGCGCTGCCGCTTGAGAACCGACGTGCGCTCGCGTTTTGTCACCGTCGCCGCCACAAGCCGCTGCTGGAGCCACCGCGCGCCGTCGCCCGAGAACCGTCGTCGGAGCTGCCGCCGCCGCCTGTGGGGAGTGAGTAGGAGGGTGCATCTGGAGGGAGGAAGAGGAACAAGAGGATAAGGACTAGGTGGATAAGGAGTGGTGGGTGGTGATTTTTTAATGGGCGGTGATATTTTTAAGTGTGTGATTTTTTTAAGTGCGGCGTTTAAACGCTGGCGGTAGGTTAAGAAGCAATAGGGTTATTTTTTGAAATGGACTTCTTAACCAACCTCAAGCGAAAACGGATTTTCACTTGTGGTCCTAGACTCACCGTCGGCGAAAATGAATTTTCACTAACGGTTCTAAACCCTCTATTCCTCGTTAGAATTTCACAAGCGGATTTCTTATATGACCGCTAGCTAAAAAAATAGAGTACCGTCATAAAAAATCGTTTCTTAAGCTATGGGGTTGGGAACCCATCTCATCTACACGAAAAACAGAGCGGTCCGTTAGTACGTTATTAATTAAATATTAGCTATTTTTAAAAATAGATTAATTTTATTTTTAAGCAACTTTTGTTTTTTTTTTAAAAACACACCGTTTAGCGGTACATGGTTAGGAAAAGCGAGAGTACATGGTTAGGAAAAGCCTCGAACGAACACAGTCACCTCACGCTCACAGTGACACTGACACAAGTGCATAGCCGTATACACGACGACATCATGCGGAAGTCCAAGCAGAGCAACACCGTCCCCAGGCAGAGCAATCTTAGTATACCTCGTACGCAGCCATAGGGAATTCGTTTTTGGTCACGAGGCTTTACAGTTTACAGAGGAAATGAAGTTTATCTAGATGCATAATTTTGACTAATTGACTTGGACGGAGACCCCGCTGTTGAAGGTCAAGAACGTGCACAGTATCTCGATCCCTCAAATTCCCGTGCGACACGTCTGCTGCTTCCATCGCTTGCTAGTTACATAGTCCATCCTGGTTCAGCTATATAACTTGATCAATTTAGAGATAGTGAGCACCAAGAATCAATCAATCGAGCAGAAATTTGATCTGTACATCTCCAGTCACCATGGCTGCCGCCGGCAGCAGCAAAACCGCGAGCTTGTTGCTATGCCTGGCGATGATCTCCTTCGTGCAGCTGGCACAGTCCTCACCGAGCGGCGACAAAGGCATCAAAGGGTTTCACGGCAAGAAGCTCAGCTTCACCCTGTACCAGCAGGAGACCATCAACAAGACCAGCTACATGGTCGTCGCCGGCGTCGCCGGCGCCGGCGTCAGCGAGACCACCACGCCCTTCGGCACCGTCTACGTCTTCCGCGACGACCTGACGGTGCGCCCCGAGAGGTCGTCCCGGGTGGCCGGCGTGGTGGAGGGGACCTCCGTGACGACCAGCTTCGACGGGCTGAGGAGCCTGTCGCTGGGCAAGATCACGCTCGACCACCGCGGCCGCCGGGGATCCATGTCCGTCCTCGGGGGCACGCACAACACCCGGCCGTCCGACTGCCCGGTGGTCGGCGGCACAGGTGACTTCGCGTACGCCGTCGGCTACGTCCGGACGTCGCCGGTGAACCTGCGGGGATCGTCGGTCACGTTCAAGGTGGAGTTTCACCTGTACTGGCCACCGTATGCTCATTACGCTCCAACTTCAAAGCACTAGACAAGTCGCTGTCTTCCACCTTGATGAGCGCGTCTGCGTGTGTACTCGTTTCTGGCAGTCCGATATTATATCATGCATCTGCCTATTTTTTTTCAGTCTCTCGCTGAGTAGTTAATATAGAGTTTGAATTACCTCTGGGAGGTATTTCCGTATTTGGTGTAATAAAATTCAAGATTGATAATCTGAGGAATTTTCATGAAAAAATTAAACTACTACGGATGATGCGCTTATCGGACGCTTGTTGTTCGGTGATAGTACTACTTAAAAAAGATCCTCGGATAGTCAGACTTTGCAGTATACAATTATGCCAATGAGATATGAATCTTGAGCCAATTATATCACTAACATATGGGTATTGGGTTCTACTTTCGTACGGTTCACATGTCAGAAAGTCAGGAAAGCCTCATCCATACTACTTTCCCAATTCAATGTTTAAGTTGGAGATGGAGAGGTTGTGGATTGGGATCACATGCAGTGGCTATAGCCACTGCAACTTATGCAGTCCTAAGGACATCATTGGAATATAAATTAACGTCCTAGATCTTTCCTTGATACTGTTCACAAATGACCGTACAAAGTTAGTTTCTGTAGCATGTACTGTAGCAATTACTGTTTAAAACAACTGTAGCATTTATTTCAGCCGTTGATTGCCTTGATCCAATGATGAAAAATGGTTCCAACTGCTAAACTTGCAGTCTGTCCTATGACTGCACCGGATCTGGATTCAACTCTAGTCGGGCATGCACAACTGAAACCGACAACAAACTTTGTTCCATTTCTCAAACCAAACGGAAAAGTTATTAGCAATGATTAATTAAGTATTGATTATTACAAATTTTAAAAATTGATATATTTGATTTTCTAAAACTTATATATAGAAAGTTTTACATCAAATACACTATTTAGTCGTTCGGAAAATATATTTAAAAAAACCAAAGAGTAGCTAGCTAAAAAAACTCAGCCTTGGTTTTTTTTAACTATCATGGCACACACCTTTAAAATTGTCGAATGGTGTATTTTGTAGAAAAACTTTTTATATATAAGTTTTTCAAAAATTCAATACATTCATTTTTAAAATTTATAATAGTTAATAGTACTTAATTAATCATTAATCTTTCATTCCATTTTACGTGTGGCCGTTAATCCAGGTCAAAAAGCTAGCGAACACTGAAAGCTCCCGTGCGCCAGAAACACCCGAGAATAGACAACCGCACAGTAACATACACACGGCAGCTTCATCGGTTTTCCATGGGCACTTTCGGTGTTTCACGATTTTGCGCACGGGTTGGCCCAACCCAAACCATACCGTGTGCGATTTTGCTATAGATTTGTCGTGTGATTTTTTCTCTCGGATTTGTCCTTTTTTAGGCTGTTCGATAAGTGCCAAGATTCGTGCACATATAGCGATGGGAATCCGCATAGGATTCAGTCGGACGGGTTAGAGCGCTAATTTCTTTTTTTGCGCTTTAAAAAATTGATATGCACGCTGTTCTCTCTCGTTCTCTCTCAATTGAAACTAAAATAAAAATAAAATACAAAATTACAGTCATATATAACTAAAATTATATTTGTAAATTCAGTTGATATGACATGTAGGTGCATTGTAATTTTGATAAAAGTAATTATGTAACTAAATATGTATTTTTATTTTCTTTTGTAGTCCGTTGGATGTAAATTTAAGGGTAGAAAAAATCTGGGTGATTTTTTCTTAGAAATCACCTGACAAATAAATAGACAATCCCTACCGTGTGTGCTTAAACACACGAGAACCTTCCCGTGCGGATCTAGACTCCCGGTAACATTCTATGTAACGGACTCTTTCAGACGGCACGGTGGCTTACCGTGTGTTCGAACAGCAATAATCAATCAAGCAGCCATCTCCATGGAAAGCTAGTGAGCAGCAATAATCAATCAAAAGGATTATTTAGCAGTTAGCACCACCTAAGCTCAAATTCTTCTTCCGTTTTTCTCTTTCTCTCGGTTTCAATAGGCCAACACGGGAAGCTAGTGAACAGCAATAATCAACCAAGCAGCCATCGCCATGGCAGCTACCAACACGGCCATGAGCTTGGTGCTGTGCCTGCTGGTAATGATCATCTGCTCCACGCACCGGTTGCTGCATCCCCAACCCCAGCTTGCGGCGACGGCGGCGTCGTCGTCGTCGTCGCCGTTCTCGTCACGCAGCAAGATAGGCAAGGACATCATCGACAAGACGGTCAGCTTCACCCTGTACCAGCAGGAGACCATGAACAGGACGGGGTACGTCGTCGTCCCCGGCGTCGACGCGCCCGCGCCCGCGAGGGTCGTCGTCAGCGACGCCGGCGAGCCCTCCGCCGACAGGCAGCCCTTCGGCAGCATGTACGTCTTCCGCGACAACCTGACGGTGCGCGCCGACAGCTCCTCCCGTGTCGCCGGCGTGGCGGAGGGGACCTCCATCTCGACGAGCTTCGACTGCGAGGACGGCCGGAGGAGCGTGTCGGTGGCCAAGATCACGCTCCACCACCGCGGATACCGGGGCTCCGTGTCCATCCTCGGGGGCACGCCCAACATCACCAGGCCGTCCGTGTACCCGGTGGTCGGTGGCACCGGCGACTTCCTGTACGCCGTCGGCTACGTCCGGTCGTCGCCGGTGGACACGCGTGGGCGGACTCGGACGACGTACAAGATGGAGCTTCGCTTGTACTGGCCGCTGCACGCCTATTTCGCTCCAATTCCGTAGTAACACATCGATCAACGTTCTTCCATTCGCGTCTTATTCCAACTATAATTCCATGCAGAAGTTATTTTTGGAGTTAATTTGATACATGAACTAAGAAAGATTTAAATGATTTTATTGCCCTATAAATATTATTGTACATTTCAAATGGTGCATTGATAGATCATTTATTCATGAGGCACAATATTGACTAAGATAATGTAAGGGGAATAAAGGAGGTCATATGTGATGAGGTAATTAATTTGTTTCCACGTCCATTACTCCTGGTTAATATAGTGATACTGAAAGTTGCTCAATCCATTCCAAATAATTGACACCGGCACTATTTAATTTTAAATTTAACCATCTTTTGCACAAAAAAAAAAGAATACATGAAAAATATGGTATACTAGCGAACAATGTGCTGTCAAAAATATTATCATACAAATTTCTTTCATCATAATATAATTATTTAAAAGTATTTATGGTTAAAGTGAACCGACTGTAGTCAATTATTTGAAGAACAGAGGTAGCAAATTCTGAGTTTAAACATGAATATTTTGGTATTTAGATTTTACCATAACATTTACCACGGAAGGTTAAATGGCCTCACACCTCTTTGTGCACTCTTATTATATAGATTCTGTTTCTATTTTATAAATCGGCGGGATGCTCTAGGATTTACTTGGATGGAAGTTCAAATGTGGGGCAGACACACCAAGGGTGCGCTCCACATTATATATGTTTTGTACAAACTTTATCATTTGTTGAGAAGGAGGTGGTATGGACTCACAAGAAGTGTGTGCTTTTATAGGTCTGGTAATAGGCTCCAAACATTGATCGATGAAGGATTTGCACATCCATTCAATCTAAGGACTTAAATCTAGCTAGGCGAAACGAGATGCACATCTTAAGTTATGCTTAGCTCCCCCAATTATTTTTTACATTGAATTGTACATTCAAGCCTGTTTTTCTCGCATGTTTCCGTATTTCAAAAGTACGGTCGAGTTGTTTTGTTTGCACTAAATAAAAGTACTGCTCCCAACGTTCAAATATAAGAATTTCTGCGTGTTTCCCAAATTTTGAAAATCTCACAGAAAACACATATATTTTGGAATGGACATAGTACTCCGTAGTTTCAACCGTACACTTCTCTACAAATTTTCCCAGTAAAAAAAACTCAACTAGCATCAACGGTAGCAATTAGGTCGAAAACTGTGATACGATAAAACCATGTTACATGGATACACAATAAAGATATGGCTAGTATTGGACTAGCGACCTAAGGTACCTTTTTTTTTCTGGATAATCTGTTTGGATGCTCACCTCATTTTGCCACAATTTTGTGCTAAAAGTATATCAAGGTATAAATTGTGCGGCTCCAAAATTAATGGTCATATTTGTGTCAAACTTTGGCTAAGAAAAGAGCCTATGATTTGTGGGACCAAAAGATAAGAAATCATTGCATGCTAAAATTGTAGAAACCAACCAAACACTAGCCATATTTTACCACATTTTGCCATATAATAGTCAAGAGTGGTAAAATACAACACCAATGAAGCATGCTCTAAACACTTGAATGATTTTGTAATTGTTATTTAAGGGTCCAAACAAATCAATTGACTATTAGAAGTTAAAATAGATTTAAAATAGGCTTTTAAAGAAATTTATGTAATCAAATTTTTATGAAAAGTTAAACATGAAGCATGTCATATTAATCCATGATACCCAATGTGATATTTGCCCATTGTAGTGGGGCCTGTCTGTAAATATCATTGTGCTTTAAGCTAGTTTAATAAAGTATATACTTTCTTCGTCTAAACAATATCCAATTATAGAGATATAAAAAGGTGACAATATCATCTGAGGCTTTTGGTCTCAGTTAGTCTTGCAAAAAATATAAAAAAAATGCTTTTGAAGTTTTTCACAAAGTTTACTTTTATATTGTTAAAAACACATATATAAAAAATTTATTTATAAATTATTTTTTATTTATAAATATACCGTTTGTGACTTACCAGAACAAGGAGAGAAGAGTCTGTTCATCGGTCCATCACGGCCGGACAAACCTCGCCGCTTCGCTTCGCTTCACCCTTTTTCGGTTCGCTCTAGCTCCTCATCCCGTTATGCCTTCCCCACCTGCCGCTACCCCACGCCCCCTTCCTCTCCAGGTCTCCCCCCTCCCCTTGTGCGACTTGTGTCGAACACCGCAGCCGCCACCCGTAGACGCGACCTCAGCAACCCCACCCACTTCCTCTCCGTGGGCGCCCGCCGCGCGTCTTGCCCCCAGATCCGGCGCCCACCCCAGGTAAAAGCCCTCGCCCGAGCTCCGTTGCTCCCGATGCGCGCGTGCAGGGAGGGATGGGATCAGGGGAATGGGATTGGGGGTTTGGGGCGGGATGGATCAGTTGAATCGGCTGCGCTAGTTTGGAACTCGAACAGCTTGCAGTAGGATAGGTGGGTTGAATGGTCGCAGGTGTTGCGCTTTTCTGATGCGGTTTCGTTTGCTGCTGCTGCTGTGTGAAGGTAGCCGGTTGTTGCTTGCACGCGTGGATCACTTACAGAACCATGCGGCGGTAGGAACTTGGGCAAGATTCCAGATGGTTCGCTTGTTTGGTGAGCTCTTGTAGCATTGATTGTGCTCCGTTCGATTTCATTTTGGTGCAATCCCTAGCACTCTAATTTTTCTTGCTTGGAATAAATGGTGTAATTATTAGACTTTATTTCAGTTATTAAACTTACAATGATCGATAGTTATAGTTCAGTACTTCGGTTACCCTGTTTCACTGTGCTGTTTTGACTTCTGTTATAGCATGCTGAAAACTGAACTTGCCAAACAGGCAATTGATGGGGACTTTCCTTTTTTGAGCCAGCAATTATAAACTTATAATTATTGATAGCAAAGTTCAGTATTCCAGTTACTCAATTTCATACTGTTCAGAATACTGGCTAAATAAGTCAATTCATGTTGTTCTAGTCTTGTGAGGCTTCCTTTTCTCCTGTTCCAAACTATTGTCACGGTTTTCCTCCCGATGTGCAAACATTGCTTTGTTTTCACTTAAATTTATTTGACTCATCTTGTATGGTTAGTTACATTTTAATATGGCTTAAAACCATAACGGATCATTACTGCAGCTTTCTTATGAGGATTAATAATGGGAGAATGAAGATGAGGAACAAACAACGGAAATCATCTGCTCTCAACTTTGATGCAGGATGCCGATCTTCCTTGTCTTTTATTGTATGGAGCTTGGTGGGAGTTGCCCTCATTGTTTGCTTCTTTTCTGTTGTCCGTCAAGCAGACACTAGGCAGAACCATATTTATTTCAGACATCTATCTGCTACCAGAGAGTTAGAAGAGATTGAGGAGGAACATTTCCGCTTGCCACCTCCTCACAAGGTTAATCCTCGTGCAGTGAAACGGCGGGGGCCTCGCAAGGCTCCAAAGGTTATTGATCAATATCTGGATGAGTCATCAGCAGTGCATGCCTTGTTCTTCCCTGATGAAAGAAGTGCAGTGAACCCAACAAAAGGTGGAAATGACAGTATGTACTTCTATCCTGGTAGGGTGTGGCTGGACACTGATGGACATGCCATTCAAGCCCATGGGGGTGGTATTCTGTATGATCATATCACTGCCAAATACTACTGGTATGGAGAAAACAAAGATGGGCTAACCTACCAAACTCACCCCAAGAGTACATATCGGGTTAGTATAAATTCTAGTATAATATCTTCCTTGTTTTAGTGACTGGTTATCTTAGCAATTTGTTCTGATACCAAAAAAAAAAAGGTACAACAATGGATTTTGAGACAAGTCTGTGGCTGATTGGTCCTTAAGTACGTATGTACTGATAAGTGGTTGTCTTTATAATTTTCCAGGTTGACATTATTGGGGTAAGCTGCTACTCATCAAAGGACCTATGGTCATGGACTAATGAAGGAATTGTGCTTCCTGGAGAACCTACTAATTTCACCCATGACCTTCATAAATCTAAGGTGCTTGAGAGACCTAAGGTGATATATAATGATCATACTGGACAATATGTCATGTGGATGCATATTGATGATGCAAACTACACCAAAGCATCTGTTGGTGTAGCAGTCAGCAACTCTCCCACTGGTCCTTTCACCTACCTCTATAGCTTTCGCCCACATGGATTTGAAAGTAGAGACATGACAATCTTCAAAGATGATGATGGGTCGGCTTACCTCTTCTACTCTTCTCGTGACAATACTGAGCTTCATGTCAGTCCATTGACAAAGGACTATCTTAATATCACGGTAGCAATGAGGAGAATATTAATAAGACGGCATAGGGAAGCTCCGGCTGTCTTCAAGCTTCAAGGAACCTACTACATGATCACCTCTGGTTGCTCGGGTTGGGCTCCTAATAGAGCATTAGCGCATGCTGCAGAATCGATCATGGGCCCATGGGAGACATTGGGCAACCCATGTGTTGGAGGCAACAGGTTTTTCCGGTTGACAACATTCTTATCTCAAAGCACATTTGTGCTTCCCCTCCCTGGCTTGCCTGGTACATTCATCTTCATGGCAGACAGGTGGAATCCTTCAAACTTGAAAGATTCTCGGTATGTTTGGTTACCTCTGTTCATTGGGGGATTGGCAGACGAACCGTTGGATTACAGTTTTGGATTCCCGGCATGGTCGAGGGTGTCCATTTATTGGCACAGGAAATGGCGCCTACCTGAAAGTTGGAAGGGTTATACCTGAATTTTGCCCTACGCACATGAAGTACATACAAAAATTACAGATGATAGATGCAATCATGGAACAGACATAGTTTGAAGAGTTTGGTGATTGTTCCGAATATTTCTTGAGATATCTAGTCAGTGCTTTCGTAGGCCTTTTTGTAACGCAAAAATAGTCTGTCAAGAAAAATTGTATAACAGTGCAGCTCTCAAAACAAATATTTGACTTGCTGTAACATCCTCCAAAAAGAAAGTTGAAATAGCTTGAGCGTGTGTTCATCCCGAGATTATGCTGGTAACAACTAACAGGTAGTAGTGTTTCTAGTTACTGTATCCGTTACATGATTGATCCCAATGAAGCAGAACTACAGTTACGCAGGCACGCTTGAATGTCGAACCTGTGATCACACATCTTGTTTAACATCCATTTTCTTCGAAAACTCAACTGATTGAATGCCTGAATCTGATAAACTAGTCTCGCTGGGGATTGTTTATGTTGACAAGCAGCCAACACACATGAACTAATTCATGAATACTTGAAGCCGATGGAAACAATGTTCCATACTTCATAGTTGCATGTGCTACTTTAGTACTTAAGTCATGTCAAAATATTGTCAACCTCAGAAAGAATTGACATGGAACAACAGATCACAGCATTAACAAAAGAACAACAAATGACTCGGATAAATTCCGTTGGTGATCTACCGCTTAAGAATCTACCAGATTGGGAAAAACAAAAACTGCCTGTTAATTGCTAAAGCAAAATTTTAAGCAGTATATGTTGAGTACCAGTGCCATAATATAACATCATTTCCCCAAAATAGCTAGAGCTGTTTCCTCTTCTTGGTCTTTGACCAACTAGATGCATGTTTCTTCAATTTGTGAAGTATTGTTCTCTCGCTCACCCGCAGCACCAAAGAATGATAGAGATTCCTTTCGTTGACAGAAGAGCATGCTTGCAGTTTTTGCCTGTCATCTTCCAAAGTGTTTGAACCATAGAGGCTCTCCCTCATGTCAACAAGGGATACAAGTGCAGAACAAACGCTCTCATTAAGCAATAGCTTCTTAACATCAGGCAATTTTTCAAGCCCGCTAATATCTGGATGTTGATTGGAGCTTGTTACTCTGACAACCTTAAGCACACTACTAATGCTGTCGACCTCATCATCACCAATCAGATCATGAGCCACGCTGGCCAGCTTGTCATAAGCATCAGACTTCAAGGAGATGATATAAAGCAGGATCAAAAGTTCAAGCTGGGGCTCTCCATCATATGAAATCTCAAAGTAGTCAGCATCTTGGCTGGTGCAACCTGAATAGCCCAGATTATGCCAGAGTGATACCCTTGCTCTTGCATATCGACGGGAGTACTTAGAAGAGCACCACTTAGTAACCAGAGCTAAGTCGATGTTGACGATGTCATATGAGTTGTCCATCTCTGTGAAGCCATATCGATGAAGCAAAGCAGCATTTCCCATGGTACCGTATGTGTTAAAAACCTACAGTGGAACAAGAGGAAACATAAAGTTGCCTCAAAACAGGAACCTAACTGATATCTAACAGTGATACATTAAGCAATACTTTGGACCCAAATAAAAGATGGTAAGCACACAATTACCTCCTCCCCTTCATTGACATCTCTCACAACAATCATTTCCAAATCTTCATCGTCATCTCCTACATAGTATGAACAAAACAACCATAATGAGTGAAGCTCAAAATCAACCAAGTACATGTCTAAATAAGGTCTAATGATGTTACATGCAGATGGTCATGGATGTAACCTGAAGGGATGTCGGCAGAATTTTCTATAGTTGACTGTTCATCAGCAGAAGCATTGTTTGGATCTTCACCATCTTCACTATCTGAGTCCGAGGCTTCTAACACTGAAGTGAAGTGGACATGTTCCCCACCAGTCTTGTGGTTAAAACTGAAACAAATTGGATGGAGGGCATTTCCATATTAACGCTCAGACTTAAGACCAGCACAAATACATCATCACCTAAGTATGTGCACACCTGATGCATTGTTTCCAAATAACCAGGTAAACGAGAAATAATCTAATTACATGAGTAGATTGTAACTTACAGGTCAGCCAGGGGAACCATTCCAGACCCATGATAGCTATCTATTCGGAAGGACCTCGACGAAAGTAGACTCTTAGCAGAGAAATAATTCTCCAGGCTAAAATCATCTGGGTCAACCTCAAGTTCTCCTGACAAAATGAGTGGCTCAATACACTCTTTCCAGTCCTCACATATGAACTGCCTGTCTTGCTTCACTATCTGCCTAGAAATTTTGCCGTTTTTAGAGCCATCTTAGTGATCAGCCAATAACGCAATATGAAACATGAAATGTGTGCAACAGGAAAGTACATCATATGCATAATTAGCTCGCATTATGCTGATTTGAAAAGGAAAAATGGCCATAGTTGTAACTCCAGGGAGCCAAACATTGCAAGATAGATCAATTTCACTGCCTACCATCGAAGCATCAAGGCAGATACAAATCGTGGAAGCATTGCAACTTGTTACTACAATAGAAGGGCTCACCTTATCGAGCTCGGTGCCGGCCAGGAGGCGCTCGGCCTCATCGGCGGGCCAGACGAGCGGCACGGGCTCCCGCTCGGGGATCAGGCGGAGGTAGGCGTCCCACGGCGACTCGGCGCCGCGCGCGCGCTCATACATGACGGCGACGGCGAGCGCGAGGGGCCCGCCGAGCTCCGCGGCCTCGATGGCCTCGGCGGCGCCGGAGGTGCGCGGGGTCAGGCACGCGCCCCGCGGGATGGTGGCCACGAGGTCCCCCTCCCGGAGCGCGGCGAGGGCGCGCACGTAGACGCCGCCGCCACCGTCCTCGGCGGCGTCGAGGCGGAGCGCGTTGCTGCAGACGACGCCGTGGTCCCGCATCCACCGCCTGAAGGCCCGTAGGCGGCTGCGCGGTCGCGGAAGGGTCACGGATCGTAGCGCGGCGGGGGAGCGCATACAGAGAAGAGCAAAGCAGAGGATCTTACCGTGCGGTGGAGGTGGAGGCGGAAGCTTCCATGGCTGGCGGCGGCGGCGGCGTCGCGAACTCGCGACCAGGTTTTCGTTGCGGAAATCGGTGAGGCAGCAACCGCGCTGCAGGCCCAGCAGAGGCCCACCAAGGCCTGCAACGCGTGTATGTTAACAACCCTTTTCTCTTTTTTTTTTTAAACACGTCAATATATTAGAAGGAAGCAGAGTTATACTTGCACGATGTAATCGGCCAGAGGATCATTGCCACGAAAAATAGGAAAAACAAAAGACTGTTAAGAAAAAACGCTACTCTTATATAAAGGGAAAAATAGGAAAAAAAAAACAACCCTCTTCTTCTAAACTATGTAATCTCGAGAACAACGAAATTCGATACAATCTCAAAAGAAAAAAAAAGAAATTGAATGAGAAGAAGTAGAGGAAGTTTTTAAAAGTGAAAGTGAAGAAGAACAAGCGAGAGAGAGAGATAGAGATCGACGAGGTTGAACCAAAGCTGCCACCGCTATGCCTCGTTAGGATTGGTGTATTTGCTTACCAAGGACTTGCTTGAGAAGCTTGATCATGGGCTACATCATGGGCTGGGCTAACCAATCAACAGGAAGCCTAGTGGGTTCTTAACAGTGTAGTTTCCCTTTTGCCTGAACATTAAATCGCAGGTGAGAGATCGGACGGGCAATGATGGCCATAATTCAAGTTTGGCCGCTGATCCCAATTGATTTTTGCCAGCAGCGCTCTGTAATGTGCGTGCACCTGCTGTAACTTTCTGCCTGCAGGCGGCCGCCCACGCCAAAACACAGCACAGGTTGAGGTAGTACTCGTATTTGTTTCGCTGTCTTTCGCTTTGCTGGTTGGTTCGTACTGCAAACTTGAACTCACACCACAGGTGGTGGCTTTAACTAATGCCGTGCATCAGTTGAACAAGCATAGAGTAGTTCGCTTGCTCTTCAGCTTGTCGGCCGCAATTGAAATTTAAATTTTAAATCTTAATTTTAAAATTAGGTTTCGATAGTTTCATCATATTTTTTTCACGAATACGTAAAAAGATTGCAGTCAATATATTAGAAGAAGAATAGCAGAGTTTAGTTATACAACGCAATCGGTTAGAAGGCCGTTGCCAATGGTCAAAGAAAAAAGAATAAATACAGAAAAGATAAGCTCATGTAAAAGGAAAACTACAATCGCAAAGGAGGGTGGGGTAAGGGTCCCACTACACTCCGGCCTATCATAATTTTTTTTCAATCAAGACTTTTAAGTCATCAAAAATACAGATAAAAAGTTATTTACTTACAAATATACAATTAGTTGTACGTGAAAATATAATCGTACCAGCAACAAAAGCATCTTAATGTAGCCCTTTGCATGTTCTACTTTCAGCAGTAGCCAATGCAAGAGTACTACTGCCTTTAGCCATCTGTGAACAAGTTTTCAGATAGCTAAAAAAAACTCAGGGCCCCTTTGAATCACATGAATAAAAAAACGGAGGAATAGAAAAAATATAGAATTCTAACATGAATGTAAGTGTAAAACAGAGAAGCAAAACACAGGAAAAACGTAGGAATGACCGTTTGATTGGACCACAGGAAAAACTGAGGAATTTGAGGAGAGATAAAGACTCAAAGGATTTTTCCATGAGGTTCTACCTCTTGTTAAAATTCCTCCAAAACTTGAAATTCATAGGGTTCATTTCTTTGATTCAAAGGGCTTTGTAGGAAAAATTCCTATAGGAATGAAATCCTCTAAGGGCCCCTTTGAATCAAAGGATTTATGTAGGAATTTCATAAATTCAAATTCTATAGAAAATTTTCCTATTTGGCCCTTTGATTAAAAGGATTAAAGCTTTCCAAATCCTATGAAATTCCTATGGAATGACACATTGCATGTGGATTTTGGAGAAAATTTACTAAGAGCTCTAACCTCTTGGAAAATTTCCTTTGAGTCTATCTCTCTCATCCGATTCCTGCGTTTTTCCTGCGCTCCAATCAAATGACCGTCCCTATGTTTTTCCTGTGTTTTGCAATCCTCTGTTTTACACTTCAATTTCTGTTAGAATCCTGTGTTTTTCCTATTCCTTCGTTTTTTCTACCCTGCTATTTAAAGGGGCTCTAAAATTCCTATAAATTTCCTTTGAATCAAAGCGGCCCTTATACTTTCGCCCGTTTAAACCAGCGCTAGATCTGCCAGGTTGATGCTCGCAATGTGGAAGGTGTAACGCAAACACTGTAAATCAGTAATGATATTACAGTAGCAGTGATTAGGCGAAAGTACAGTGCTACATGCACGAGATTAGGTATGCATGGTTACCGAAGGTACAACCCCTGCTGCCTCCTGCCAGCGAAGTAAAGGAATCAGCAAGAATAAAGGGGGGAGCGCGATTAGTAATCACCAACTTTTGCAATCTGCTGCAGCAAATTTATACACGCTCTGTACATGTAGCTGTGGATCAGCATTAACCATGGCGACAAGAAGACAAGCGCTAGAAAAGAAGAGGAAAGGCTTAGCTGTTGTTGACAATGCGCTAATTAATTGATGGATCTTCAGCAAGGCGAGCTCCAAATGCAATGCAGCCATGTTCTGATGAGATGACGCAGTAGTAGAGATTGAAGGCAAGGTCCCGGATGGTAGATGAAACTGTGGCAGCAGATGTCATATCATTTCTGGATTCACTCAACAACACTGATCAAGCTATAGGTGAGTGAAGCTTGGAATGGATAGCCAAGCCAGCAGCTGCTCGATTTTCATGATCTTCACACTTGCATTGCATGCTGTGATCCATCCACGAAGCGTTATGGCCGAGTGAACACCTGGACATCTAGCTAGCTGTACGTTAGTAGGAGTAGTTCGCCGGCAATCTATGCAATGCATCTACGGTTTCATTACAGCGTCCTGCAGTACTGCTTCTTGCAGCAGCGTAGCTCGATCGAATCGCAGTCCTGCATGCCAGGGATCGGGATGGCTGGCTGGCGTATCAGAAGTCTAGACGCTCGAGTGGCGGGGAACTCGTCGACCGATGCTTAGGCAGAGATTGTCCAGGTCTCCAGGAATAGCTAGCTTCAGACCAGGTTTCTGTGGATGAGCATTTACCGGTTGTGAAATGCTCGGGGCCAGCCGGCTGTGAACTGTATTTGTCTCGTCCTCTATACACCTACAGTAGTATTTCCAGGGGGGTAAATTGACTGCCTGTAGATTTTGGTTATACATCCTTAAAAATAGGAGTATACTCTCTCTCCGTATAAAGAAAACAACCTAGTACTATTAAAATAAGACATAACTTAGTACCACAAATATAAAAAAAGTTTGTCTAGATTCGCTGCTGTATTAGGTTATATCCAATCTAATAATAGCTTTTTTTAAGAGAGAATCTCTTATATGCCACTGAAAATTGGTCATATCCCTTATATACCATTGAAAATTGGCTCTTTTTTACGGCATTGTTTAGTTCCAAACTTTTTCTTCAAACTTCTAACTTTTACATCACATCAAAATTTTCCTACACACATAAACTTTCAATTTTTCCATCACATCGTTCCAATTTCAACCAAGCTTCCAATTTTGGCATGAACTAAACACACCCGTATACGTCCAAAAAAAATTGGCTCTTTTCGTGTATGCAATTAGTCCAAATTTACGCACCCTCTCATATCACTTTTGTCTGTTGACCGTTAACTCTCAAATAAAAAAGATGTATTTGCTCTTATGAGTATACGACATGCCTAACAACTCAGAATGGCAAATACGTCTTTTTACCTTTGGAGTTAACGGTCAACAAACGAAAGTGGCATGAGACATGGGAAGAGCCAGTTTTTCCTGGCATATAAGGATTCTTTTTTTTTTAATGGAGGGTGCATGACGAAAGCAATTTGGCATACAAGCAGAAGAATACTCGTAAAAGACATTTGATATAAAAGGTTCTCTCTCTGTACCATAATATAAGGGATTTTGAGTTTTTGCTTACAATGTTTGACCACTCGTCTTATTTAAAAAATTTTGAAATTATTATTTATTTTATTTGTGACTTACTTTATTATCTACGGTATTTTAAGCACAACTTTTCGTTTTTTATATTTGTAAAAAAAATTAATTAAGACGAGTGTTCAAACGTTACAATCAAAGAATCAAAATCCACGGAGGGAGTAGGATTTGCCTCTGAATATTCCCAGTCAATCCAATCCCCAATGCTTACACCAACAATAGCTGTAGCTATGCTTTATCACTGCTTTCACTGTCCACACATCTCATCTCTGTCCAGTTCAACTCACAAGTCTGTCTCCATCACTATGACATCTCCCATAAATTGCAGCAAAATTTTCTCCCCTCTCCTTTCATCACTAGCGCTATTAATTTCCACAGAAAAGAGGTCATGCAGCTCCAAGTCACATTTATATGTGCATGGCAGCAGCAGCAGTACCACCTATCCCAGCCACTAGATAAATGCGAAAGCCTCCATGGCTGCATTGCTCATTGATCATCTGCCCACCATTAGAGACATCAAGAACACTCTGCACTAGCTCACTCAGGTTGCATCCAAAGATCACAAGATCTGAAGATCACATTGATATAACCATGAGCAGTTCTGAAGAAAGGATGTTCGAGATGGATGCTGACCCAACTTCATCACCAGAAGCCAGCCCCAAGCACCATCACAGTACATGCCACATACTAGAGGTTGATCAATCTGTCACTCTGGGCTTTCTTGTGCCATTGTTCATGTAAATGCCTTGTTAGCCTTTGTTTCTTGCTTACTGTGTCTGCAAAACACACGTAGCAGGGTCTCCTCGGGAGGTGCACGCAGGTGGAGATGGAGATACAAGAGAGGGCCATGAAGCATGTCATGGAGATTGGAGAGGAGAGGAAGAGAAGCAGCTTGAAGAGGAGGCTGATGATGAGGCTGAGGAAAGATGGCTACGATGCTTCTCTCTGCAGGTCTTCTTGGGTTGCCACCGCTGAGCATCCAGGAGGTGAAGTGTTTGTTTTTTTTTTCTTTACTTTTGTTTAAGATATTTTTTTTCTTCTTTACTTATCTTGTTGACACAAAATTTTTAATGCTATTTTGTCCTTGTTCTCTGATTTCTCTGTTACCATTTCTGTGGGTGTATGGTTCATCTGTAAATATCTAAAACTGGACTAGTTGGTCTGCAGAAAATGCTGTCGGAACAGCATGTTTCTTGTTTTGGTAAGGAAATATGAATCACAGAATTTCCATCTTCTGCGTGAACTTCCATGGTGATTTGCTCCTAGTAACTGGAGTAACTGATATATCTTTCACCGGCTTTTTAATTATACTCTTTCCATTCTATATATTTTAGTTTTGTCCTAAGTAAAATTTCTATAAACTTAGTTTACAATAACATATGCAGCATCAAATTTGTTTTGTTAAATCTATCACTATATCTTGATGGTGTACTTATTTATTATTATAAATGTTAATATTTTTCTACAAATTTAGTCAATGTTAATAGAATTTAACATAATTAAACTAAAATGACTTTACTCCGTAGTATGGAACGGAGGGAGTACCATTTCACAACCCCAGTAGCAGTAAAACTTTCAGAATCTTGGTACTCCTACGGTGACATACAGGTAATGAAGCATTGACATTAATTATTGACTTAGATCAGTGTACCGTGCATATAATCACTAGTACCATTACTACCCAATCATCGTTAATATGCTGACATTGGCCACAGGGTCAGCGAGTGATCACCGTTAGCTTCCTTTAATTTAAGTGGCCGAAACAGTGAGCTGAAAGGTTGCAGATGCTTTTGTCTCGCAGGTGATTACGAGTACATCGACGTGCTCGTGGCAGTAGGCCATGGTGCTGACACGTCGTCCACGTCCAGGCTGATCGTTGACGTGGATTTCCGGTCCCAGTTCCAGCTGGCGAGGCCGGCCCCATGGTACGCCCACCTGTCGAGCCGGCTGCCGCCGGTGTTCGTGGGCCCGCCGGAGAAGCTGCGGCAGGCGGTGGCGCTGCTGTGCATGGCGGCGCAGCGGTCGCTCCGGGAGAGCGGCCTGCACGTCCCGCCGTGGAGGCGGCCCAGCTACGTGCAGGCCAAGTGGCTCCCCTGCCGCGGCGTGCAGGCATCAGCGCTGCCACCGGGCGGCGAGTCCGCCGCGGCGGCGAACGGCGGCGATGGCCCGCGGGCGGTGGTCCAGTGGTCGGTGGGGAAGGAGAGGAGACGCCGTGGTGGTGGGCACCGGAGGTCAGGCCTCTCGGTGGAGCTATCCGACTCCGGCGCCGGTGAGGTGAGCTGAGCTGAGCTGTGGTGTGCAGTGTGCCACGATGGTGGTTCGCTGGTTTCATTGATCTTTTTTAGCTCCCACGGTAAAAACTGTGGGATCGAGGTGTAGAAGGTACATGTACTGCAGACTCCACTGTACTCCAGTAGTTTAGACCAGGTTAGATTGGTTGCCAACCAGTCGGGTGCAGTCAGTGACTGTTCTGGTAGGGCCAACGTGGTATCCAGTTTTGCAGTTTTGCTTTCGCATCAACCGTTGTTTAGCTGCGTTGATGTTGGCATGCATGCCGCCTGTGGCATCCGGCGCCGTGTTTTGCGTTGGACATTTTGGAGGCTTAACGCCAAGCGAATAGCTAGTGTGGTGATCAAAGAACACACAATCCAAAGTCATCTATTTCAAAGTTTACAAGCATATTGTACGTACTACAACAACTATAGTGCAATTACTGTGATCTGTGGGTGCTGGAGGTGGAGTATGCCTGGTCCTGTGGAATGACAGTGCGGAGAGAGGGGCTAGCTTGTGGGTTCTTATCGTTTTACTGGTGGTAGTAAATGGACGCTGTACGCCGTATATATGCGCGCCGGTGTTGCCACCGTCGGCGTCGTATCCGGCACACGGGGCTCCATGCAGGAGGTGGGGGGGGGGGGGGGGGTTGAACGGGAGGGAGTGGAGCTGTGTAACCAGCCGCAGCTTTGTCAGGCTTGGGTGTGACCGGCATGTCATCACCATTTCACCTCGCCTGTACGAGTGTACGCCAGTATTGTGTGGCTGATGGAAATGCTCTTCGTGGCGCGAGATGATTGACCTCTCTACTCCATTGCTCCCCATACTGTGCAGTCCTCTACTATACTATCCCCATGGCCCATTGCAGCTTTTGCAAGGAGGAAGGAGAAAAAGGAAGGTAAAAGAGGGGAATCCTACGCGGAGAAGATAGAGATATACGTACAGTGATCTGGCTACCAATAACTGAACAACGTGAACACACGTAGTACAAGTACAACCAGGTGTTGTGTTTTCCACGCATATTTTGCCTAACCCCAACAAACGGTTGATCTACTCCTCCGTTTTACAGTTGCAAAACATAGTAGGAGCCTCAACTGGGCCTCTATGGCTGGAAGAAGGAAACGCTATATCTGGCCGAAAGCTCAACTGGGCCTCTATGGATAATGAGCCCTAAAAGTTAGGAATAAGTTCACTTTGTGACCCTCAAAAGTGACAGAAATTTAATTCGTAACCCTAAACCACAAAACCGGATATCTCAACCCCTAAACTCTTAAAAACGGTGCAATTTGACTCCCTCGACGGTTTTGCAGAGCGGTTTCGCTGACGTGGCGCCTACGTGGTGATATTGACCGAGTCTTTGTTCCACGTGGCGGTGACGTGGCACTTACGTGGCATTAGAATTAAAAAATATGTGTGGGACCGTTTGTCATTCACACAAAAAGAAATATGCACCCACTGACATGTAGGGCCCACATGTCAGTCATCCTTCCTTATTGGAAAAAGTCCACTTTGACTCCCTTAATTATCAGCAGAATCTAATCCGTAACCCTCAACCGCAAAACCGGATAAGATGACTCCCCGAACTATTGAAACCGGTACAATTTGACTCCCTCAGCGGTTTTGGAGGGCGGTTTTGCTGATGTGGCGCTGACGTGTTGATGTTGACCTAGTCTCCGTCTCACGTGGCGCTTACGTGGCATTCAAATTAAGAAAATTTATGTGGGACCCATCTGTCATTCACACAAAGAAATATATTATGGGACCCACTGACATGTGGAGCCCACATGTCATCCTCTCTCTCTCTTCTTTTCACCGGTCTGCAAGGGCGAGAGCTGGACAAGCGGCGGCGGCCGGCGGCAGGCAAGCGACACTAGGGGTCTAGGGCAGCGGCAGAGGCGGTCGAGGGAGTGGTCGGCAGCGGCGGCGGTGGGACCAGATCTTCCTCCTCCTTCTCTCTCGCTCATCTCTTTCTCCCCTCTTTGTGTGGTCGGCAGGAGTGGTCGGCGGCGGCGGGATAACGACGGGACGGCCGGCGGCTGTGTAACGCCCCGACATTCATTAGCCATTAACACAGCTAACTCACACCGGGGTGTTATGCATTACCTGTGATATAGTACCAGTCCAAGGATACACTAGCTGGTACACACAGAATAAATATGGAATCAAAGTAAATTACTTTATTACATCACTGGGTAGTAGTCCTTACATAAGATGCCATCATGGATAGGCCCATAGATGAGCAACACAACATTACAGAAAACCATAAAAGCGACGGCGTAGAAGCGAACAACGCGGAGCACTAAGCGACTAAGCAACTATGCACTAGGCGAAGAACCTAGGCATCTATCTTATTCCACAGGCGAGGCTTGGGGCTAGGCACGAAACATCTAGAAATCTTCATACTCGGCTTGCTCCTACAGATACTCCTCGGCGGTCGGGTCGACGTCTTCATCTTCATACTCTATATATTATTATAAGGGCAAGGGTGATTACTTAACGTACTCAACAAGCCAGGGGAAAGAATGACATGTTTGGTTTAAACAATAAGGCTAAGGTTTTATTTGCGAAAGCTGCCTTTCTGGCAAAGTGATTTATTTCACAAAACTCCTAGTGAGTGAGTCAAGTTTTAGGTGTCGGGAGGAGGCTCACGCCTCGACCCATTCCACAAGTTGCTTTGCAACAACTTGTCACGATTAACAACAACAATTAATTTGTTTCCTCTATTAGTTTCTTCTCACAACAATACATAGTCCACACAGTTATCTCAGCACAACAACGCCATCATCATGGCCCTAACAACATCTCGGTGTCGGACGACACCCCAGGTCACACAGACCCGTTCCTAACCACCCAGGTTAGCCGTCTGCCACACAGGCGGACTCTGGTAACGTTACCCTTCCCAGTAACCACTTCTTCACAGACATTTGTCAAACAAATCTACGCTATGAGAAACACCTTATACTCGCCCTTGACCGTGGGCACGGCTGTTCGAACAGTTCATTAATCTCTGCAGAGGTTGCACGCTTTACCCACACGACACGAAACTGACATTGTTTACCCGTCAGCAACGAAAGTTCGTGATAAGGCCTTTCCAAAGCTAACCCATGAAAATCGCATGCCACCTAGTTGGGCTAAAATCCATAGCCGAGTATCAGGCAATGACAACCGTCATCCACTCAGGAAATACCGAGGATGCCACCTACTCCTACCGGTACCACGCCACAATAGAGGCAAAAAGACACCCATGATGGGCAAAAATGTGTAACACTCCGTCTCCTCATCCTCGGCATTCCACAACCATTGGCACACCAACTCCCATGTGAAAACAATTTACTTAGCCAGAGGCATCCCATAAATATCCGTGTGGTCGCACTGTAACGTGTTTGGATGGATTTCCCAAAGGAATCGGTCCTTAACGATAATACGTAGCCAAACCACAATGACTCCGCATCATCACCACTTTTCACAACACATTTTATTTTAAACATGTATTTGGAATAACCCAAGTTTCCCATACGGCAAAACATCGTAAGCATGGCTAAGCGAAACTACCTCGGTAATCATATAACGATACCGGTGCAAATATTTGTGGAGTTATCAAAGGTATGGAAACATCAACCTATGTAATATAAATGCGACTATTAGGTTGGTCCGTCGGTCGTATAAACGATCCGAGGCCTAAACATGTTTTTCGTGTATACTAAGCAATGCATTTTTCAAACAACATATCATTGCAAATATAGGGGCAATGTGATCAAAGAGGCTTGCCTTGCACAGGGCGCGGGTCTTCTCCCTCGAAAACAACGTCCGGAGCTTCCTCGAACTCGGGCTCTAAACGCGAAAAACAAAACTAAATAAGAAAAGGCAATAAAACTAGTTCAAAACAGAGAAACAATGGTTCCACTGTGTAGATCTCAATTTTAGAAAAATTTAGGAACTTGAACGGGTCAATCGGAGTTACGGTTGATTTTCTACGGATTTTCAAACGATCAAAGCATTTTCTGGAAATTTATTTATTGGACGACAAGGGAATATTCTGTTGGAATATTCCGCTAAGCTAACAGCAAAAAGGGGAGGCCCACCTGTCAGCGGTTGTTGGAGGAAAAGAGACGCGGGCCCGGCTGTCAGTGGCTTGGAGGGAGTAAAGGAGCACGGGGCCGGGCTGTCAGCGGCTCAGCTCGGCCTCTCTTCTTCTTCCTCTCGCTACTGCTCGGCTCGGTCTGGGACGACGACGCACCGCGGCGGCGAGTCCCGGCACGGCTACCGGCGGCGGAGAACTCCGGTGAGGCACCGCCGGCGACGGCGGCGCTAGGAGGCGCGGCGCAGCGGCTCTAGGCGGCGGCTCAGAGAGTGATATCGTGAGAAAGAGAGAGTAGAGAGAAATGGAGATGGTGATGGTGTGGGGAGGAGGAGCTTGGGTTGCTTCCCCTTTTATAGGCGAGCGACGCGGTGGCGAGCTGGCGAACTAGGCGCGGCATTCCGGGGGTAGACGGCTAGCAGCTAGGGCGGGATTCCGGGGCGGACGAGATGGCGACGCGATGGCTTGGCGTCATGCACCGGTGGCGACTCGACGGCGAAAACAACGGCGACGCGACACGAAGTGACGCGCGGAGAGCGGGAACGGCGGCGAGACGGGGGTGACGCACGGCCGACGACGGCTATGGCCGGGATTTGGGGCGGTAGGGCTAGAGAGGGGTGACGCGAGCGACGGTGGCGACTCGACGCGAGAGAGAGGGAGAGACGCGGCTCGGCGGTTTCCCGGGAGGAGATAGACGACAAGACGACGAGGCGACAGCGAAGGGACGCGCGTCCGCGAGAGCTCGGGATGGGACGGCGCGGCGTCAGCGGTGGTGGCGACGCGACATGGCGATGGAACGGGGATGACGAGGGGTGGCGTTGCGGCCGTTATCCGTTGGCGTCGACGCGACGGCGACGGGATGGAGACTCGATGGATGGAGTGGACGGCGACGGGACGGGGGTGACGCGGGGCGACGTGGCTCCGTGTCTCCCGGAGAGGGCGCGACGGTTTTTTTCGTGGAGTTTGGCGCGATGCGGCTTTGGCGCGGCGTGCGGGGCGGCGCTACGTGGCCCTGGCACGTTGCGGGGCGCACGGGAGGGTGGTATGGTGCAACGCGGCACGGGAACGAGGGCGGAACGGTGCGGCACTTGGGCGAGACATTTTGTCGAACACCTGGCGTGCATGCTTGTGGCTGGTCTGGGGAAGAAGACGATGAGCAGTGAGGGGCTGGGCTGGGCTGGCGCAGGAAGAAGGCTGTGGGCCGGCCTGCTTAGGGGGAGCTGAAGAGAGGAGGGATGGAGGGGAGTTGGGCCTGGGAGAGAAAAGAGAGAAGGAGGCCCAATTCGAACAGTGAGCTTTCACAATTTTCAAGAGATTTGTAGAGTTTGAATTTTGAGGAGATTTCAATGGATTTGAATTTGAATTTGACCTAGGGTATCACAGGTATTTGAAGGAAATTTCTAGGAGAGGATTTGAGATCCATTTGGCACAAAATCAACTAAGAACCAAATTAACTCCAATTTTTAAATGACAAACTTTTTAAATAAAAGCACATAAAATACGGATGCTACAGGCTGACGCCTCCACCCTGCCGCACAGCAGCCGACCAGCCTCGTCGCGGCGCACCGGAAAGAAAGCCCTCGCCACGCACATCGACGACGCCGCAGGTGCCCATCTTGAGGTACATGATGGGCCCGTACTTGCGCGCTAGCGACGCCAGGTCGGCGTGCGGGGCTGGGCCGACGAGCGGGAGCGCGCCGAGGACGGGGACGCCCGGGGGTCCCAAGGGGAGGCGGCGGCCGCCGCCAGGGGAGGGCGGGCGGTAGGAGCAGAGGGAGAGGTTGAGGAGGAGGCAAAGGAAGGCGGCGGAGAGCACGACGGGGTCGGTGCAGAGCGCGGCGAGCTCCATGCATCTGGAGCGACGAGGCAGGGCGTCAACGACGCCGTGGGGAGGGATGGGCGAGGACGTCGACGACTCGCGGGGGGAGAGAAAGAGAGGCGGCGAGGGGGACTCCGCTCCAGGTTGGGTGAACTCTGGCCGGGATGGGGTTGGAGGAGGCGCCAGCCACCGCCACTCCGGCCCCCGTCCGCCGCCGTCGCCGACGATCTAGCCCCCGTCCGCCGCCGCCGACGATGACGATCTGGCCCTTGCTCTGGCCTTCGCCCGCCCGCCCTCCCGCCGCCGCTAGCCCCCATCCTACGCTCGCGAACAGAAAGAGAGAGAAAGAGAGGGGGAGGTTGAAGAAGGTAGATAAGAGAGGATGACACGTGGGCCCCAAATGTCAGTGGGTCCCACATATATTTTTTTAATTCGAATGCCACGTAAGCGCCACGTGAGATGAAGACTAGGTCAACATCGACACGTCAGCAAAACCGCCCTCCAAAACCACTGAGTGAGTCAAATTGCACCGGTTTCAATAGTTCGGGGAGTCGTCTTATCCGGTTTCGCGATTTGAGGATCACGAATTAGATTCTGTCGATAATTAAGGGAGTCAAAGTGGACTTTTTCCTTCCTTCTTCCTCCTCCGTCTCTCCCTTCTCTTTCGTTCTCTCCCCTTCTTCCCCTTCGGCCGGCGGCGGGGCATGGGCCGCGGTGTGGTGGCGGCTGGCGGGAGCTGAACCGGCGGCGGCAGCGGGAGCTGACGCGGGAGCTATGTTAGAATCTCTCCTCTCTGAATGTTTAAGTACTAATCACTAGCACTAACATAAACACTTGTATTTACTCGGTGGACACAAACACACAAGAACTGAACAAAACACACAGGCTTTTGGTTGATGTGGCTAATCACAACTCACACCATTTTCTTCATTACATAGACTTAAGTACATGCAAAAGATAAGGATCAGCCAACTAATTTGGCCTTGACTCACGCCTTACTCCAACATGCAGATGCCATGCAACAAGGTAACTAGCTAGACCTATTCTTCCGCCACAAAATCACTTCGTGGCCTTCCAGCTTGAGCTGCAGCTCTGCATGCATCTTAACACATCCAACTAAATGCTTGCATGCAGCCGCTAATCACTAGTTCTACATGCTAATGCAACAGCCTTTACACATCGTAGATATCGGCACGTTCGTCCGGCCGCATCGCACAGCTCACAGCAAGCACGTTTCACACGTACTGGCTCGGATCCTTTGCTGCCACACACTACTACCTTGTGCAAAACCTATACAAACCAAATGCATACACTCTAAAGACAAGATTATTGCTAACATTTACCCCCCTAATCTTGGCATGCTTCATTCAGAGAAGAGTTGGCTCCTCATCACTTGACGCTGCGGCAAGGAGCGCTATCTCCTTCTTCTTCTTTTTCTCAGGGCACTCATACGCAAAGTGTCCAAGTTCTTGACAGTAGTAGCACATTGTCTTGGACCTGTCCGGCTTCTTGACGCGGCTGCGGCCACCGCTTGTGTCGCCGGACGTGAAAAGTAGATGCTCGCCATTCTTGTCATCACGCTTGCGTATCCTTTCCTCGTATGCCTTGAGGCGACCAATTGCCTCATCAAATGGCATGCTGTCCAAGTCAGAGAACTGCTCAATTGCAGCGATGACATGCAGAAACTTATCTGGCACAGAATCGAGTAGTTTCTTGACTTGCTCATCATCGTCCATGGTTACACCAAGATCGCTCAACTTGTTTGCCAGGCCACTGATTTTGCCGGCAAACTCGTCGATTGACTCGGTGTCCTTCATGTGCAATGCCTTGAAATCGCTCTTCAAGGTTTGCACTCGCGCCTTCTTCACACGCTCAACGCCAAGGAACCTCGTCTTGAGGCTTTCCCAGACCTCCTTGGCAGTCTTCTTCTTCGCGATCTGCTGCAACACGTCTTCGGGGACGGCCCCGAAGAGACACGCACGTGCCTGCTTGTCCTTCTTAATGTCCACGGCCTCATCGGCCGCGGGCTCGATGGCATCCCAGATGCCTTGCGCCTCCATGTTAGCCTCCATCTTGATCGCCCAGGTGGAGTAGTTGGTGGAGGTGAGCACTGGATATGGGAGCGACACGATGCCCTCCCTCATCGATCGCGATGCGGAGTGCTCGACGATGGCCATCTTGTTGAAGCGCAGGATCTTGGGCATAAATTGGCTCTGATACCAATTGTTAGAATCTCTCCTCTCTGAATGTTTAAGTACTAATCACTAGCACTAACATAAACACTTGTATTTACTCGGTGGACACAAACACACAAGAACTGAACAAAACACACAGGCTTTTGGTTGATGTGGCTAATCACAACTCACACCATTTTCTTCATTACATAGACTTAAGTACATGCAAAAGATAAGGATCAGCCAACTAATTTGGCCTTGACTCACGCCTTACTCCAACATGCAGATGCCATGCAACAAGGTAACTAGCTAGACCTATTCTTCCGCCACAAAATCACTTCGTGGCCTTCCAGCTTGAGCTGCAGCTCTGCATGCATCTTAACACATCCAACTAAATGCTTGCATGCAGCCGCTAATCACTAGTTCTACATGCTAATGCAACAGCCTTTACACATCGTAGATATCGGCACGTTCGTCCGGCCGCATCGCACAGCTCACAGCAAGCACGTTTCACACGTACTGGCTCGGATCCTTTGCTGCCACACACTACTACCTTGTGCAAAACCTATACAAACCAAATGCATACACTCTAAAGACAAGATTATTGCTAACAAGCTAGCTGGAGCGGCGGCGGCGGCGGTGGGCTGGAGGTGATATGGGTTCTGGAGCGGCAGCACCGCCGGTGTGGTGGACGGAGTTGGTGCAGGGAGCTCGTCCACCCGGTCGATGGCGACGGTGATGATGGAGACAAGGGAGCGGATGAGGCTGGGCAGTCGGTGCTGCGACGGGGCTGAGGCTGAGGCTGCGGGGGGAGCTCGTCCTTCGAGGCGATGGCCGTGGACCTCGGCGTGATGAAGAGGTGGTCGCCACCCCTCCTCCGGCGGTGGCGGCAGTCCCCGGAGTGGAGGAGTCGACGATAGTGAGGCCAGCGCTCGGCGAGATGGGACCTGCGTGCTGGACATCAGGCTGGCCAACGCCGACATGCACGCTGGCAACATCCTCACCTGCAGAGACGAACAAGGCCATGGCCTCTCCCTGGTTACAATCGACAATGGATACTGTCTTCCTGAGAGTGTAAGCACTGACGCTGATAGATTTTCTTCTAGCTAATTGATTTCCATTTTGTTCGTTGGTGATCATGCATCGATCACGCATGTGCAGTTTGAGGATTGCACATTCGAGTGGCTCTGCTGGCCGCAGTGTAGGCAGCCATTCAGCGAGGAGATGGTGGAGTACATAAGGTCACTGGACGCCGAGGAGGACATCGCCATTCTGAGGTTCCATGGCTGGGACATGTCAGGCAAGTGTGAGCGCATCCTGTGCGTCACCACCATGCTACTCAAGAAAGGCGTGGACACGGGCCTCGCCGCGTTCCACATGAGGAGCATCTTGTGCAGGGATGGGGCCAGACGGTCCCCGGAGTGAGGAGTCGACGATGGCGAGGCCAGCGCTTGGCAAGATGGGGTCGGCATCGTGGAGGAAGTCGACCGGCGGGGGTTGTCCTTAGCGTCATCGACGGCCGACGATGGAGGCTGAGGTCGAAGGCGGCGGCCCACACACTGGCCTCGCTCGTCGGCCGACACAGAGGCGCCAATGCTGACCTTGTTCGCCGCCGCCGCCGCCGCTCCGGATTCAGCTTGGGTGACTTTGTGTTGGCATGTCACAACGTGACATTGTGAGGATCTCTGCCATCAAAAACACATCCAACAGCTCGTTTGGTTGGGCCCGTCTGCAGGTCGGAAATTTAGCCGCCGATCCATCCGTCCCGCGGGAGTCGGCGCCCGCCGATCCAACCCATCCCGTTTCGCCTCGCCCGGGTCCGGCCGTCGCCGCGAGCCAGCGAGTTGTTCTGAAGAACAAATCAAAAGCAAACTCCAGTCAGGATGCAACAAACAGAAGCTGTTTGATGTCCATAGGCTGATGCTTGTGCAGGGGCAGTGCGGCCGGCAAGGGCAGTGCGGCCTCCAGGACGTCCCCTCCTCCACGCGCTGAGCTGCAGATCACAGAAGAAAAATGAGGCCGGTCCGCCACGGCTGCAGATCACCACGACTGCCTGGACTGGCTCGGCAGCCTCCATCCGCAGCCGCCACCGCACGAGGGTAGGCCTGGTGGCCGGCCGCTGCTCGCCTCTACTCGTGCCGGCAGGGCCACTGCGGCCATCTCGACACGCGCGCGCGGCGGCCCACGGCGGCGGCCCCACTGGAGTCCCGCGACGACAGCCCCCTTCCGAGCGGCGGCACCGGCCCCCTTCCAAGCGGCGGCGGTGGTGGTTCTGGGGGATTCGCGAGCAGCACGCTCGGGCAGGAAACGGAGCAATGCGGGGTGAAAAACTGAGGCCTGCAGGTGGGCCGGCGCAGAGGACCCTTGGATTTATTTTCAACGCCCCAGATTGCTCTAATGTCACACCGTGCCATACCATGGCAATGTCACAGAATCTGAGTCCCGCCGCTCCAGCCCTCGCCGCGTGGAAGAGGGGGAAGAAGAAAGAGGGAGGAGTCAGTGGGCCCCACAAATTTTTATGTGTGTGAATGACAAACGAGTCCCACATATATTTTTTAATTCTAATGCTATGTAAGTGCCACGTCAACGCCACGTGGAACAAAGACCCATTAATATCGCCACGTAGGCACGTCAGTGAAAACGCCCTCCAAAACCACTGAGGGAGTCAATCACTTTTGAGGATCACAAGGGGAACTTATTCCTAAAAGTTACTACTAGTTTGAGGGACAAATGATGAACTTTTTCCCGTTTGGCTCAAGCCCACGCGACCATCCAAATCCAGTTGGAACGTTATCGCGAGTAACGTGCGGTGCGGCCCATCTGTGTGGGCCGTGGAGCGAGTAGATTGGGCGCGGATTACGTGCAGGCCGTGCGGCCTGCTAATGCGTGGGCTATCGCCAATCCGGAGAGCTTCGTGCCATCGTAGGATGGCCCCGGAGTGATTACCTGCGCTGGCCCGCGCGGTGCGGAGAGGATCGGAGTAGGATATGGCGTCAAACGCCGTCGTGCGTCGCGGACTCGCGGTCGGCAGGCGGCTGGCGCGTGTTCCGTGTGGGAGGCCTGCCTGCGTGCCAACCAGCGCAACGTGTCAGCACAGCCCCTAACTTTAAATGAGCTCCACCGACGACGACCACCAGTGTGTTGCACCTGTGCGTCACCTCCCTGTTGATGTCAGTAACAGTCTCTTGCGTGGTAGGCCCCCGAGAAGTACTTGCCTCCAGAGCATTGCATCATCAGTTCATCACCGGAATCTCTTCACCATGCAGGCCTGCGGGCTGCGGCACAGAGTCACCAGGTTGTCTGAGGTTACACTACGTTTCACGCGTACTACGAGTGATTGAGAAAACTTATACTGCTTCCCACGTAGACGTACACCGTATAATCCCGCACATCAGATTTCAGAAAACTTGTACAGTACATCGGCCCAAGTTAAAAGTCGTCTTACCGGCCCAAGCTAGTCGTATGTCCCCAGGTCCAAATCACTACAACCGCTGTCGCGTTCCACGTAACAACAAGCGAGCCAGGCCACAAACACAAAGCGTTCATATGTTCTCTACTCTCTAGTCGAGCGGCCGCATGCAGCACGCGCGCCGGGGTGACAAGTCCAAAGCTTCAAACCATTTCCCCCCACCCTCGCGTCGCAGCCTTCTCGTTCTTCGCCCCCACAAAAGTCCGCGCTCGCCTCTGCCTTTCGCACGAAAGTGGGGATTCTGCGATTTTACTAGTAGTATCTCATTGGTTGTAAACCAACGCGAGACGCCGGCGGTGAGTTGGAGTTGGTCTACGAGAAGGAACCATCGGCTGCTCGCATGTGGCGGCCTCGAAGAACAATCCTTTTCCGGCTCTCGGGGACTTGTTAATTCGCCGCGATGTCCGTCGCTTTCGCGGCAGCGAGGCCCCCTCGGCGGAGCGAAAAAGAAAAAAGAACGAAAAGCGACCTACCTGGAATGGCCTGTCAATTGTGTATCCGTACACCAGAGTCCCAACCAAAAGCTGGCTAGGAACGGGAGAGGCACTGTACATAGCACCGACGTGGTGATGAGACGTGAAGAGCCACACACACTGTAAAAGTAATGAAGTGTACAGCACTTTATGTTCAACAGTGAATAACCCTATTCTGCCAAACGTGGTACTCCAAACATTATGTGGGAATTTATTCGACCGTCGAAACGTATTGCTGCGTACAACTTCTCGATATAACCAAGCATGTACTGTTACACTTGGACAACGTTTTGGTCCATCGCCCCTGCATGCAGGGAAGAGCAGCAATACCAATAGGCTTTATTAAAGTGTAAACGGCTACAGGACGCCTCTTCTGTACTTCTGTTTCACGGAGTAAAAGTGTAAAACCTCCATGTTCCATTGCACAATGTACTAATCTTCTGTACGGAGTATATTAACTTGACCTTTGCTAGGTCAACAGCAGATTGGCTGATCACCGATAGAAACCTACCACAGTACTATGCCGTATACACGCATGTTCAGCTAGAATAAAGTGCACCTAGCATGGTGATGATCGAAATTACTACGTAAGCCGAGTCAGACAGAGTACTAGTAGCCCCTAGTAGCGGATAGGATAAACTCGCCAAGTCTCATACTCCAAGGCCTTCAAGTTGCCCAGAACTTTTAGTTGAAGACCAGATGGAGGGTTATAGCTACTCGTACTTAATTAGTATTAAGCTCATGTCTTCATGTTCCTAGTTGAGTTATACTACTGTACGATGACAAACTTTTGACCTATACGAATCTGCATGCGTCCCGACTCCAGAACCCAATCCACGAGGGTTTGAAGTTTGAAACGGTCACGGCTATTGTATTCTATTCCGTTAGGTCTCTCAGATGTCACTAGTACCTAAACTAACTAATTTTTGTCACGATGCCCAGCTCTAATTAAAGTTTCGGTCCTTATTTTTGGTTTGCAATGTTAGGCTGGCCTGACCATAAGCACGCACGAGTGTACGTTGCGTAATATTCGTACTTCATATAGCTCGGCATCAATTTGCCATTGACTAGTGGTATGATTGTATACCTTCCATAACGTATGGCAGGGTTCAAAAGTTCGGTCCCCTGCCGTGCGGAGAATGCTATGCATAATACAGCCTGCACGACTAAATCAAAAGTTCAAAAGGAAAGCTAAATTTAACGGTCTTGTTTCACATTCCGCAAATCTCGGGCTTTCACTTGTTTGACAAGAGTACTGGCATTCAACTAACTTTAGGTTTACACGTACCGAATCTCGAATTGATGTGTTCAGTTTAAACCTCAATTTTCAAGTAGTAATATACTCCTATAAGACTTTTAGCCCACAGCCCCACACCTCGTGTGAGCTCTGCCGCTATAAACAAAGAACGGGATGGCTTATAAACAATGCGCACGATTTTAGATCTTTGTACATGCAAATTTTCCACGTATTAGGAGTACTGGGGCGTTCTCCAACTCACAAACGTCCACCATTAGCAGCGTAAACGTTCGCAGGACAGAACATTCCAAATTTGCTACTAGCCAGGTGGCCGGCGCGGTCCACATGATCGGTGGCTAGTGACTATCACTTTGCGGGAAGAGACCACACTCTTCCAAGTACCGGTGATTGAAAGGCCCGAGACGTCTTCCCCGGCCCAACGAGACGACGGCGACGCGTTTGTCTCGGGGGCTTTAGCCAGCTAATCGGCGCCACCGCGCACCGCTCGGCGGCGGCGGCGTGGCCACCGTCTTGCGTGCACATGTTCGCGTGCAAACGGCCAGGCTAAACAAATCAATAAATCAACATATATTGCAAACTATACATGTAGTAAAACATTAAAATTATTGTTAGGTCTAACCATAAACGCATGATATTTAACCATGTCAGCAAGTAAAATTTTTATTTGTGGTTAAATCCAAGAGTAATATATTTTTTGTAACATGATCAACTCTCATACGTTTATTTTAACTCTACTAGATCCATTAAAAAGATGACTCTAATTGCAGCTAGTGTTGTATATTGGTCAATTTGGCGTTGTTATAATGTTAAAGTTTTTAATGGTAAACAATTATCTAACCATATGTAAGTTATTTTTATGTCTCTTATTGGCTTCAATTTTAGTTTACGATATTACCACAGGAGGAGCAAGATACTATGTGCAATAGTGCTACACTACCAGAATCGGAAGCCAAGGGTCTCTTGTTCCTCTACTGTTAGCTAAAAATCTATATGGTTTAACGCTAGTCAATAATAAAGGGGAGTTGTGGATTTGTTCCATCACTTTATTCTTCATTTTAATTTAATTTTATCTTTACTTTTTTTTATTAAACTTATGACAGTGTGTCTATGATAGAAGTTGAAGATGTAATATATTTTTATTATCTAAAATGTGATTTGCACTAAGTGTTTTCCCAACAAATCTCGGCCTGCACACTACGGGCCAAATGGGCAGCCGGCTTAGCTG